TTTAAATCAAGAAACAAATCTTGAAAAAAATAGAAAAAGAAAAAAAATTGTGGTAAAGTGTAAAAAAGAAATGGGGAAGGGGCAAAGTATACGATGTATCAGAAAAACCTTAAAAACCTCCAAGAGGGAAAAAAATAAAAAAGGGAAAAAGATACATCACTTTGAGTGTCTAACTATTGTTGGCTGCACGTCGTTGATGACGGCGAGATTTGTGTAAATTGTACCTTTCTTGGCGAGAAGTTGTGTGATTGATTGGAATGGCTTGTGTTGAAGTGCTATGGTCAACATTGGTAATGTGATGTGCATTATTGCGAGCTCGCTTATGATCGTAGCGTTCTTGACGATTAGGAATATGTCGCATATTTACAGTCTGAGGCAATCGAATAGTTCCTGAAGAGGTAATGGCCTGACGACGTGCCCAGTAGCGTTCGATGTGTAATTTGTCAGGAAAATGGTGTGCAGGTTCCCATGTATCTTCCTCGTCGGATTGATCTTTCCATCGTACAAGGTACATATAATTAGTAGGATTGGTTCCTTTGTGGTTAATAATACTTTGAACTTCTTGGAAGTCGGTATCATCCTCTTCGAAATCCGTTGTGGTACTATTGACTTTAAGAAGTTTAATATGGGACGTAGGGACGTCACGAGAGAGGAGATTATTGGCTTGATCGACTAGGACGTAGGAACCATTGGTGGTGTAGTTACGGATAGTGAAAGGACCGATGAAATTAGGATCGGTTTTGCCTGTTTTCATGACATTTCGTATCATGACCTGTCGACCAATAGGAAATTTCTTGTGAATGATATGATGATGTTTGAGGAATCGTGCATTATCTTTTTCCTGTGTCAATTGTATACGTTTTGATAAAGCAGGAATAAGGAATTCGTTAACTTTGTGATATTGAGCAGAAACAAGTTCAGGAGTAATGACTGAATTATCCCAGTTAGGGTCAACGTTAGTGTAATTTTCGAAATCATTAGCTCGTCGATTGAACATAACCGCAAAGGGTGTAGAGTGGTGTAAACGAGAAACCTTGAGGTTCATCTCTAACTGTTTGGCGTCAAGGAGAGTGTCCCATTGCTGTTTCGCGCCTTGTAGCTTTTTGATTAAAGTACGTTTAGTGATATGTACGAAACTTTCATTGGTACCGTTGGAGTTAGGTGTGTATGCTAAACTAAGACGATGGTCAATGCCCAATTGTTGAGTCATTTGAGCTACTAATTGGTTGGTAAACTCGAGGCCGCGATCTGTCTGGAGAACTTTGACCACACCAAATAAGGCAAAGATGCCTTTGAGTTCGTTAGCGATGGTAGATGCTTCCTTGTCAGGCAAGGCACGGAGGATTGTGAAACGTGTGAAGAGATCGACATAGACCATGATGAAGTTATTGCCGGCATCGGATGTGATATTAAGTGTACCTAAATCACAGACCGCATGATGGCCTGGTGCAGTGGGTAAAATCTGTTTAGGAGGATGGTATTCGGTTTTCGACCAATTGAAGGCAAGGCAAGTTAGACATTCACCTACAACTTCGATGATGTCTTTTCGTAAGTTCACCCAGTTAATATGTTCGTCGCGTATGGCGGATTCGATAGCATTGATGCCAAAATGTCCCTTGAGATGGTGACGTTCGATGATAGCACGACGTTGATCAGGTGGAGGCACCATAGGGTCGGCTAGTTCCGATGCGCGTTGTACAAGAATGCGATTGGATTCGTTGTCGTCGTGTGACGTAGAAGAAAATTGGGTGGATTTCTCTACCGCCCCCCTCTGTTTTGTGTGTTGTTGTTTGTTAAATAACTTAGCTTGTTTAGCTTCAGCGTGATTGTCCATCTGACGTTCAACTTCTGGGGAAGCGAATAGACGACTGAGCATGTCAGCAAGATAATTTTCGGAACCTCGAATGTAGACGATTTCAAAATTCTTAGAGTAGATGGTGGTGTACCAGTTCTGAAGTAGAGGTGAACAGTATCGTTGAGAATGAAGGAACGTGAGGCTGTAATGGTCCGTGAAGAGGAGAAAGGGAGTTAAATGTAGCCATGAGTGATAGCGTTGAAACATGTAGGCGATGGCGAGGCATTCAGATTTATTGACGCTGTAGTTACGTTCACTAGCTGTTTTGGACCGTGAAGCGAAACCGAGGAAGCGAACAATATTCTGTCGATCAAGCTGCCATACGAAGCCACCAATAGCATAGTTACTAGCATCCGTGTTGACACGCAAAGGTAAGGATGTATCCATGACTGAAATGACCGGAGCATGCGTGATAGCATATTTTAAAGCGGTGTAGGCTGAGTCGTGAGTGGAGTTCCATGTCTGTGCAAAGATCCGTTTGTCACTAATGCTACGAAGCTTATCCAATGGAGCGGATATGGAAGCGTAATTAGGAATGTGTCGTCGAAAAAAATTAAACAATCCAAGTACTCGCATAAGAGCTTTGTTGTTGGTAATCGGTGGAAGTTGATCCAGGTTACAAATTTTACTGCTGTCGATCTGGAGACCTTTGGAACTGAGACGGAAGCCCAGCAAGGTTAAAGATGTGAGGAGAAAATGGCATTTTTTGGATCGGAGAATTAGACCTGCTTGATTCAGTCGAGTAATGACCTCTTTGACGAGAGTGGCGTGTGCGACTAAATCAGTTGTGTGGGTACCGATTGTGATATCATCAATGTAGGCAAAGACTGTAGGCAAATCACGAAAGAGATTGGAAATAATGCGCTGAACAAATGATGGTACTGTTTTTATGCCGAAACAACATTTTCGAAAGACGTATTGTCCCGTGTGTGTGGTGAAGGCTGTGAATGGCTGGGATTCTTTAGCAATGGCAAAACGAGTAAAGCGGCTTTTAAATCAAGAACTGTAAAAATGGAGCAATGTGATAATTGTTCATGGATCTCATCTATGCGAGGTAAGCTGAACGCATCAGATTTAGGGGCGATGAGATGTTGATTGAGGAATCGCATGTCGGCACAGATTCTGACTTCAGAGCCGTAATTACCTGCAATGTCTCGCTTCTTTGCGAAAAGAATGGGATTATTATGAGGTGTGTTAGCGTCGGCTAAAGTAATAGTTTCTTCCTCGAGCCAAGCCTCAATTTGTTCGTTTAGTTTAGACTTATAGGCTAAGGGTAATGGATATTGTTTACGGAAGATGACTGTGTTCTCAGGGAAATGGAGTGTAACTTCCGAGTTAGGTACTGTACAAACCGATTTAGGATCGATGGAAGCATTAGAATGTAATACGATCTCCAGTGATTGTAAGAATGTGGATCGTTCTGTGATAGAACCGTAATATTCGTATGTAGGTGTGTTGGGTAATGGGTCAATAGGGTCCTCGATTGTAGGTAAACTATTTTCGTCCCATGTAGTAGTGAGCCCAGTGATGTTAATGTTCATTTTAGACGTAAGGTCGGTACCAATGCAAACATCAGCTTCACTATTCAGATTAAAAACTTCGAAGGTATGATGGATGTTAAGATTATTATAGAATATATGAACGTTGTCAATAAAACCAATACGCTCGATGGAGCTATTAGCATCGCCCAAAGAAATAGTATGACTTTTAGATTGTGACAAAGATGTCGTATGTGGTATAATAAGTTTTGGTAAGGAGGGTGTCATGCCCAATTTGGAAGCTAAAGAAGGCTTTAGAGAGGAGAAATTAGAACCAGAGTCGACGTAGGCCCAACATTTATAGCCCTGAATAGTGACAGGAATAATGATAGAATTTGTAGAATCGTTGAGAGGAGCAGGCTCATCATTAATGGTAATGTTAGACTTATTGTGGACTAATTGGGGAGATGAAACGTCCTCGTCTTGGACGAAAGGAGACGTAAGAGTGTGAGCTTCGTCAATGTGGCTCCTGGGAGGCGAACGTTGAGAGGAAGGATGTTGATGAACATCAAATTGATTATTTTTTATGTGCATGGCACGTTGTGTAAGTTCCTGCATGTGAGGAGTAGTGATAGCTGATTCAGGAGCACCAGAATCGTACAAGCAATACAAAGCGCTTTGGGAATCATTAGCACCAATTGCTGTAGACGTACAGTCTTTCATCTCCGTATCGCCTTGGTCAGATATGTCTTGAAGCCCTCCGGTGGCAGGGTTTATCAGAGAAGTACCAGGAGCAAAAGCAGGGGTACCATCGGTAGTAGAAACAGTAGGGTCGGTTGTAGACATAAAAAAAATTAATAAAAAGATAACTAATAAGAATTCAAATAAACGGTTAAATTATTTGAGACTAAAACTAGATATCTTTTTATTAAATGGAAAAGGGGATCCTTTTTATAAGGAAGGATTGAAATAGATTGTTATCCGGGAAGATCAGATGGGAGCGTGGATTGGAAGTAGACATTGATATCTTGATCGGTTAATGGTTTATGTTTCAGTGCTGGGTTGCTATTAAATGTCAAGTAGATTATAGGCTGGATATATAGTGTGTATATATCAACAACTTTTTGTTTTGTTTCTTACAATATGCATAGCATAAAGATGCTTTTTGTTTTGGCTTATTTAATATAATAGATTGTAAAAATAGATACCGAAATCGATTGCTGCAACATTGAGATTATCCATAGCATTGCGTAAAAATAGATTGCGTAAATCATACAGAGAGATTTCTTATTTTCGTTGTCAACCTTTTTGTCTTTGTATCTACCTACCGGACATCGATTGTCGGGGAATAATCCTGCAGGTGGTATATAAGAGAAATTACTATATATAGTACAGCTCAGGGTGATATATAATGAGTACGCTTGATGGCATGTATACCGAAATACGTATGTCTAGATCTGGTAATATGGTCAAAAATAGCATAATGCGTAATGGATTGGGAAGGGGGGAGGGGAGGAGAACCATGCCATAACATTGAACGGACCACAATACTCACGTTCCGCCTTGAATGAGTTAACCAAAGCTTTAAAATTAAAAAATCCTTACGTCATCAATAATTTTTTTAAAGCAGCCTTACTTTTTTTTTATATTTCAAAAATCGTTTTCTTACCACTTTAACGGAACAACCTTTTTCACATGCCTAAATCTGTTAAAAAGCCAAGCCTAATTGGAGTTGACCCCCAACTCGAAATAACTTTGAATGAATGTAAAAGCCGAAAAATAAATCCTATTCTACATGGATTAAAATTGAAGTATTGGACACATTATGGAAAGTTAGCGAATTGTGCATTGAAAAACTGCAAGAAGCAAGACGCTGATTCAATTATAAGAGCTATCTTGGCCTTTTTCACCAACATAAAAACTTCGTTTGCAGCCAATATGGCAGTGTCAAAATATGGCGAAGCCTGCAAAAACTACTTTTCGGACTTGGAGAACAAAACTAATCTTCAGGAAGTTATTCGTACCAAGCTAGATTTGAAGGATTTAGAAGAACTTGATAAAGAGACACTCCACATAACTCATAGTCTAAGAAGTAAAACCAAATCACAGAAGGCTCTGGCAAATGCAGCAAAAGACTATCAAGCCGCGAAATTTGAAGCAGACGCGCTGTTAAAGGCTTTAGACGTGGAAATCATCAGCTCAAGTTCAGACGATGATACTCCCGAGCTACAGGCACCACTGACACAATCAACCATATCAGAGACTGACAACGTCTTTACAGTCCAAAATCAAACCGAAAGCGTGGGAAAACGAATCAAACAAGAAGCCTTGAATATTCATAACGAATATGTAAAGGGGGTTAATATTGGTTCCGAAGCTAAACTAGTAATGGATCTTGGTTTAAGCTCAATTTTGGATTTGACTCATGAAAAAGACGCGTATCAAAAGTATATTTTTTCAGATCAAGAATGGAAGCAGTTGGAAGACTATTTCAACAAGAAATACAAACTCAAAATTACGGCATCTATTCCTAAAAACCTTACTGATACTTGGTCTACTGTTGCTCAACTTGCCATTCACAAGGGTACTTTTACTGCATTAAAGTACATATCAAAATTTCAAAGTCTCGAATCAACAAGCGAGGTTAATTTTATATATTTTGAGATATTTAGACATGTGTAAGTGAAAGAATAATCTGACAAATATTTAAAAATGAAAAAAAAGCTTACTATATTTTATAGGGTCCTTACTCTTCATGAAGATGCAAGTTTGATTAATAGTATTATTGAAAACAATGGCTCCATTTCAGAGCAAGATGTGTATACTCTCTGGTTTCCAATAATTAAGAGGATCGTATCAATAAAAAAGATTATAAGGATGAAACAAGGCGAAACGATCAACTTATACACTACCAAACGCAAACAAGCCCAATATTCCGATCATGAAAAAGTGAAAGGATTTAAAATTGATGTACGTTTGCTGCTGGATTATGGTCAAAATGAAATCGACCTATGTGCTGGAGAAGTTGCAACAAATACCTTTGACACCGATAAGCTTATCCATGATAGGAGCAAATGCATTCGAGAATCAAAAGATATATGTGATCACCACATTGAGGCAGGATTGGGAAGAGACTCGGTTGGCTGGGGAATTCAAATTTCTGGGCTCGAAGCACGCTTGATGTCAATTCATCTTTTTAGAGAAGGTCTTTTTGTTGCTGTATGCCAAGACACCTTTCTGTTTCCCCAAAATATTGAAGAATTGCCGGACTTTATACACACTCTAAAGGGTCTTGAGTATCTCATTGTAAGAAAATACTTAGATTTCTTTTTGGTAAATACTGATATTTTGTTTATTTGTAGGAACGTAACCAGGTTGAAGCTAATAAACTTATTGGAATCTACGACAAGATATATAGGTCGTATCGCCCTTCATTAAATAGTGAAAATAGCACCGGCACCAGTACCAGTACCAGTACCAGCACCTGCCGTAGTAGCTATAACAGCAACATGCCAACTTCGTTTACATATTATACCCCACCTTCGGGAGATAGAAACAAATCTGTCATCCCCCATCAAATATTCTGTAAAGAAAAACGCCGGTTATTCCACGAGAGAGTCATTATTGGAGAGGATAGCCCAGAAGTAGTTACGTTAGAAACGAAAGGAGATGAGGATATGTTTGGATGGGTCGAAATGGTTGATAACACTTGGTATAATTCTGTAACTGGTGAAAAGAGTGACGTTTCGCCTTACCGATAATGCTAAACTTAATTTTTTTTTTCATATATTCCCCTCACCTATTATCATACCAGTACTTGAGTAAATAAATATAATATAACTCAAACTGAACAACAAGACTACTAATTATTTTACATTGTATTCTTACTCACCAGTAAGGATTGTATATTCCCTGAAATAAATATTTAAAATAACGGTTACGCTATTTTTATTTTTGTTTTTAAAAAACATGATAACTTGTCAAAAAAGAACTAGTTTCTTATTTGATCATCACAAAACTAATTCAACATATCAGAAATAGCCATTAAATTGTAGAATAATACCACTGATAATAGTTCAATAATAGCATTGTTGCCTATCTTCGAAACAAGTATGCTCAGAAATTGAGTGGTGAGTATCCTCACTATTTAAAAACATTTCAGGAGGCGATATTTTATTTCTGACACAATTTATTGGATTAAATGTACCGTAAATTGTCTCGGCCGGTTGAGCGCGATTCCCCGGAAATCACGTTACCATTTGTATGGTCACACAGCGCCTTTTTACAAGGTTCGATTTTGTCCGGGACTATGATAGCAGGTTTATATTTGAAACATTTTTCCTAAAAAAGGGCATTTAATTTTCTGTATAAATAGAATCCTTTTACTTTTTTCTTTAGTTGTTTCTTAACACAATGAAATCTAATCTTATCAGATCCGCAGTATTGATTCTATCTTTGTCTGTTTGTTCACATGCATTGGATATGCAGACAACCTATCAACAGGGAGCTCCCAAGAATATAGCATTTAACGCTTTTATGGGTGGATCATCTCATCATACGTGGGTTCTCTCGATCATGGAAACATTAGGCAAGCGCGGGCACAACATGTCATATTTGACTACCGTAAGTGTAATTTATATTTTCTGACGTTATTCTTATTGACTATTTTACATAAGACGGAAGACACTCGATTTGGCCAGCCATATGATAATATAAAGACGATTGATATAGGGCCCGTATTTTCTTACGATAAAGCTAGTTTGAGTTCGGATATAACTAAATCAGGTACGAGTTCGCTAGATACTTTGGTTAAAGTAACAAGAATGATGGCATTAGATTATGAAAGAGGCAAGTAAATTCTCACATTGAAACGAATAAACTATCTGATAGCTTTCTTTATAGATTATCGTACATTGGTAAATTACTTTAAATTCAATAAGATTGACGTGGTTATATGTGATTATTTTATGGTTGCTTGTGTTGATGCAGCAAATACAGTAAAAATTCCATTTATTATTACGTCTGCTATGGATCCTACTACAGGTTATAAATACATGTATGTATAAAAAAAGCATAGCTAATATTTAAAAAAATTACAGAATCTGCTGCGCCTTACATCAACAATGATATCCTCTTGATGAATGACTATACGACCGAATTTCAAAGCCTTATCGAACGCTTCAAGAATAACTATATCCTTCCCTTGCAAGCCTGGTATAAATATAGGCCCTATGTAAAGGATATGTCTGCTCGAAGAAAGGCATTGGGTATTACCAGCAAATTCCAACGGGCCGAAAAATCTTGGGACGGTTCAATCAAGCTGATTAATAATATGTTTGGTTTCACGCCTGCTAGACCCCTGGGTCCCTTAGTAGAATTCGTTGGTCCGATTCTTCCCAAGAAATACAAGCCTTTAACACCTGAGCTTGCTGACTACTTGAATTCCCATCAACGGGTTGCTTACATTGCTTTTGGGCAAATGGCTACGCCTTCGCGTCACAATATTCTTTTGATCTTGACGGGTCTTTTCGAAAGTATAGAAGCGGGATTTCTGGACGGTTTTATTTGGGCTACAGTTAATTCTGCAGAGTTTTTCCCTGAAAGTGTCACAAGCTCCTCAGGTACTGTTTATCAAGTGAAAGATATGCTGGATCATGCTCATCCTCATGCGCGTATGGTAAAATGGGCTCCTCAGACCGCTATTTTGTTACATACTTCTACCCATGTCTTTGTATCTCATGGTGGGTTAGGATCTTGGTATGAGTCTATGTATTCTGGTACGCGAATGATCATGTTCCCCTTCTTTGGCGATCAATTTGGGAATGCATTGACGATTGAACGAGATAATCTGGGCGGCCTTTTAAAACCGGATGCTTCCATAGCTACAGCTGTTCAACTCTTTAAAAGAATCAGCGAGGACAAAAATGGTGTTATTAAAGAAAACGTGCAGCGCATCCAGGCTCTTACTCAAATTAGAGCTCAACATGGTACTATACGTGGAGCTGATGTGGTAGAGGAGGTGTTGTTTACGCATAAGGATTCCCAACTTGCTCATCGTCAATCGGTTGATCGTCATATGTCTTACATTAAGTCTCATAATCTGGATATACTGGCTATGTTGTTATTAAGTCTTGGTTTAGTTCTGGCTTTTGTGTGCTATATGTCGTGCCAATATTATGCTACCAAGTTTTATAAGCAAAAGACGAAGAAACTTTAAAAAACAGATACTATGTACACACGTGTTTAACAGTCTTCTGATCATTGACTGGCTGCTTTTCTATGTATGCATCTTATTTTAATATTGTTTCTCTAGTATCATTGCAATGTATAATAAAATGAAAACACAGGAACATAGTTTCCGTCGTCTTGTCATAAACATGAACGTTATTTAATCAATGTTTATATTATTATTCCACAACAACTTTTCTTATCAGTAGCATGTATGCGCTCTTACTGTCGCATTTTATAACACTCTAATTTGCCAATTCACTAATAATTGAGTCAAAATCGGACGCGTAACAAGGAAAAAAAAAGTTTCAATATCAACTACAGTCAAACTTTAGCGTGGAATCGGTTTACCCGAAAAAGATGTACATCCTTTTTTTTATTCTTGATAATGTGTCAGTGAAAGCTAAACACCTATTGAAAATAAGGACAAACGCTTTTTTCTTTACAAGAATCTAATTATACATTGATGCAACCGAAAGACCTATAATACAACTTTTTGTTTTGTTTCTTACAATATGCATAGCATAAAGATGCTTTTTGTTTTGGCTTAGTCTAGCGATTGAATGTCAATAATATATTTATATATATCAGTCAATATATGTTTACGTCTAATTATTGTATTGTTTCTGATTGTATATTCTTGTTTCCGGGACTTAAGGAAAGCGAAGTTACTTAATCTCACGCTACAACTATGTGTACTTTGCATGTTCTTAAAAGCTAGCAATCATTGGAATATTAGCAAGACAAAAAAAAAAAAAAAAAAAAAAAAAAAAAAAAAAAAAAACGCACGCACGCACGTGTATGATGAGCATTTAAATGCTGAATGAAATGTTTATTTTATTTTACTTGTACATGGATGGGAAGAAAAATGATGTGGGATGCTATAGTATATGATGTTGTTGCATTATTTATAAAAATAATCTATGTTTTTTTTATCTTTTGTTTCTCGCTTTTTGTTTAAGCGATTTGATTATATTCAGGGTTACATTCAATTGAGACTGATTTAATAACAGCAGTAACACTCTCTGTAGTGTTCCACTAAAAAAAAAAAAAATTAGTTAGTTTATCATCTCCCTCTGTTTTTTCTTGTATTCTTACATTGATTGGTCCCTTGGCCCATTCAGCAGTACTGGAAGGATCACTTGAATCCCAAAGTCCAACTTGAACAGATCTAATGGTATGAAAATAAAATAAATTAGCTTAAGAGGAAAAATCACATACAAAGTACTTACGTGGGATGAGATGGGAATGAGCACACATTTTTATCATTACAAGTTTCTTTTTTGGTAGTCGTGCGAATGACTGTACCATCCACTAGCCATTGAATTTGTTCAGGGCTCCTATTTTTAAAAAATACGGTTAAATAAATTTCCGGTAAATCACTTTTGAACATGCGTGTGGCATACCAATCAATAGTATAATTATGGAATCCAGCTGCCGTATCTTCTGTGTCATGATCACCACCGTTCACGCCATAAACAATGCCACCGGCATAGAAGTAATTGGTCTGTACCTTGTTTCGATCACCACCAAGCATTTCAAAATCAATTTCATCACCACCTCCTGGAGCCATTAAAATAGCAGCAGTGACTGCGCCAGCGACCCCGGATGTCTTTAATTGATATGTGACTTTACCGTAGTGCAAGAGTTGAGGTGCAATGAAATTGGGAGCATTGGGAGATGCGAATTCATTGTATGGATTACCTTTAGAAAATTGACAAGTTAGTATCAAAATGACACAATAAGACAGACACTATAGTACTAATATTAGGTGACATCAATCAAATTATTACCATAGTCCGAAGCGTTTGTCAATCGAACAAATTTTTGAGGGGGTTCAAGAACTAATTCGAGTCCGTCATCATCGACAGACCAGCCGGATTTAGCATTAGTTTCTTCTTTCCATTCACCTGTACCATTTTCATCGTTGAATACAGTGATACTGTTGGTACATGCGTTTAAAGAGGAGGTATCCTCAGGAGCGGTAGCTTTGACGGCGGTGTGAGCCTTTTTAGCTGCGGGAGCAGCCATGACTGATTGAGACATTATGCTTAATAAAGCAATAGCACCGATTGAAAGCTTGGGAAGATACATTTTGTTAAAAGAAGAAAGAAGTGATAATGATTTTGTCTTGAATAAAAAAATTCTTTGATCTCTCTCCTCTATCCCTCCTCTCCTCTTTATATACCTTTTTAAGAAATCGGAGAAGGGCCGCTCTTTTTTTTTTTTAGATGCATGCCCAGTGCTCTACCCTACATTTCGATTTATGGAAAGTGATCTTACATGTATTGCGTATATGTTTATCTGTGAGATAAATACAATGTTATATATGTTTATATACAACAGTAATAAAGAGGTGTTGTATCAAAATCAACATTCCGAAAAAGGCAGTATGTTATGTAAAATAAGCTTATTCATTGAGCAGAAAATATATATTATTTCTTTCTATTTTTTTTTTTTGAAAATCTACACAAATATGTCATGTACCTTGGTTATTACAAGCTAATTATAACAATGAGTCCAGACAACAACGAAAAGAGGCGGCCAAGTCACGTTTTTCCTTTTTACCGTGGTCTTTTCATCATGCCTCAGTGACCAAGGAAAATCCATACATGCCGATCGGCATGTAGGGCCTATACACCAACAAGATAAATGCCTTGAGAGAGTATTATCCTTTACCCGAAACCAGATTTTATACACCCTAACCGTATATAGCATATATATTGTATAAGTTTTTAACATTTCACCCCACCTCATCCCCCCTTTTTTTTCCTTGTTGGATACAAAGACAAAAAGGTTGACAACGAAAATAAAAAATTCTCTATGTATGATTTACACAATCTATTTTTACGCAATGCTATGGATAATCTCAATGTTGCAGCAATCGATTTCGGTATCTATTTTTACAACCTAGTATATTGAATAAGCCAAAACAAAAAGCATCTTTATGCTATGCATATTGTAAGAAACAAAACAAAAAGTTGTATTATAGGTCTTTCGGTTGCATCAATGTATAATTAGATTCTTGTAAAGAAAAAAGCGTTTGTCCTTATTTTCAATAGGTGTTTAGCTTTCACTGACACATTATCAAGAATAAAAAAAAGGATGTACATCTTTTTCGGGTAAACCGATTCCACGCTAAAGTTTGACTGTAGTTGATATTGAAACTTTTTTTTTCCTTGTTACGCGTCCGATTTTGACTCAATTATTAGTGAATTGGCAAATTAGAGTGTTATAAAATGCGACAGTAAGAGCGCATACATGCTACTGATAAGAAAAGTTGTTGTGGAATAATAATATAAACATTGATTAAATAACGTTCATGTTTATGACAAGACGACGGAAACTATGTTCCTGTGTTTTCATTTTATTATACATTGCAATGATACTAGAGAAACAATATTAAAATAAGATGCATACATAGAAAAGCAGCCAGTCAATGATCAGAAGACTGTTAAACACGTGTGTACATAGTATCTGTTTTTTAAAGTTTCTTCGTCTTTTGCTTATAAAACTTGGTAGCATAATATTGGCACGACATATAGCACACAAAAGCCAGAACTAAACCAAGACTTAATAACAACATAGCCAGTATATCCAGATTATGAGACTTAATGTAAGACATATGACGATCAACCGATTGACGATGAACAAGTTGGGAATCCTTATGCGTAAACAACACCTCCTCTACCACATCAGCTCCACGTATAGTACCATGTTGAGCTCTAATTTGAGTAAGAGCCTGGATGCGCTGCACGTTTTCTTTAATAACACCATTTTTGTCCTCGCTGATTCTTTTAAAGAGTTGAACAGCTGTAGCTATGGAAGCATCCGGTTTTAAAAGGCCGCCCAGATTATCTCGTTCAATCGTCAATGCATCCCCAAATTGATCGCCAAAGAAGGGGAACATGATCATTCGCGTACCAGAATACATAGACTCATACCAAGATCCTAACCCACCATGAGATACAAAGACATGGGTAGAAGTATGTAACAAAATAGCGGTCTGAGGAGCCCATTTTACCATACGCGCATGAGGATGAGCATGATCCAGCATATCTTTCACTTGATAAACAGTACCTGAGGAGCTTGTGACACTTTCAGGGAAAAACTCTGCAGAATTAACTGTAGCCCAAATAAAACCGTCCAGAAATCCCGCTTCTATACTTTCGAAAAGACCCGTCAAGATCAAAAGAATATTGTGACGCGAAGGTGTAGCCATTTGCCCAAAAGCAATGTAAGCAACCCGTTGGTGGGAATTCAAGTAGTCAGCAAGCTCAGGTGTTTAGGGCTTGTAAGTTTAGCATTATTGGTAAGGCGAAACGTCACTCTTTTCACCAGTTACAGAATTGTACCAAGTGTCATCAACCATTTCGACCCATCCAAACATATCCTCATCTCCTTTTGTTTCTAACGTAACTACTTCTGGGTTATCCTCTCCAATAACGACCCTTTCGTGGAACAACCGGCGTTTTTCTTTATAAAATAATTGATTGGGGATGACGGATTTGTTTCTTTGTCCCGAAGGTGGGGTATAATACGTAGGCGAAGTTGTCATGGTGCTGTTATAACTACTTTGAGAGGTTCTGGTACTGGTACTGGTGCTATATTCACTATTCAATGATGGGTTATACGATCTATTTATCTTGTCGTAGATTCCAATGAGTTTGTTAGCTTCAACTTGGTTACGTTCCTACAAATAAACAAAACATCAGCATTAACCAAAATGAGATCTAAGTATTTTCTTACAATGAGATACTCAAGACCCTTTAGAGTGTGCATAAAGTCCGGCAATTCTTCAATATTTTGGGGAAACAGAAAGGTGTCTTGGCATACAGCAACAAAAAGACCTTCTCTAAAAAGATGAATAGACATCAAGCGTGCTTCAAGCCCAGAAATTTGTATTCCCCAGCCAACCGAGTCTCTTCCCAATCCTGCCTCAATGTGGTGATCACATATATCTTTTGATTCTCGAATGCATTTGCTCCTATCATGGATAAGCTTATCGGTGTCAAAGGTATTTATTGCAACTTCTCCAGCACATAGGTCGATTTCATTTTGACTATAATCCAGCAGCAAACGTACATCAATTTTAAATCCTTTCACTTTTTCATGATCGGAATATTGGGCTTGTTTGCGTTTGGTAGTGTATAAGTTGATCGTTTCGCCTTGTTTCATCCTTATAATCTTTTTTATTGATACGATCCTCTTAATTATTGGAAACCAGAGAGTATACACATCTTGCTCTGAAATGGAGCCATTGTTTTCAATAATACTATTAATCAAACTTGCATCTTCATGAAGAGTAAGGACCCTATAAAATATAGTAAGCTTTTTTTTCATTTTTAAATATTTGTCAGATTATTCTTTCACTTACACATGTCTAAATATCTCAAAATATATAAAATTAACCTCGCTTGTTGATTCGAGACTTTGAAATTTTGATATGTACTTTAATGCAGTAAAAGTACCCTTGTGAATGGCAAGTTGAGCAACAGTAGACCAAGTATCAGTAAGGTTTTTAGGAATTGATGCCGTAATTTTGAATTTGTATTTCTTGTTGAAATAGTCTTCCAACTGCTTCCATTCTTGATCTGAAAAAATATACTTTTGATACGCGTCTTTTTCATGAGTCAAATCCAAAATTGAGCTTAAACCAAGATCCATTACTAGTTTAGCTTCGGAACCAATATTAACCCCCTTTACATATTCGTTATGAATATTCAAGGCTTCTTGTTTGATTCGTTTTCCCACGCTTTCGGTTTGATTTTGGACTGTAAAGACGTTGTCAGTCTCTGATATGCTTGATTGTGTCAATGGTGCCTGTAGCTCGGGAGTATCATCGTCTGAACTTGAGCTGATGATTTCCACGTCTAAAGCCTTTAACAGCGCGTCTGCTTCAAATTTCGCGGCTTGATAGTCTTTTGCTGCATTTGCCAGAGCCTTCTGTGATTTGGTTTTACTTCTTAGACTATGAGTTATGTGGAGTGTCTCTTTATCAAGTTCTTCTAAATCCTTCAAATCTAGCTTGATACGAATAACTTCCTGAAGATTAGTTTTGTTCTCCAAGTCGGAAAAGTAGTTTTTGCAGGCTTCGCCATATTTTGACACTGCCATATTGGCTGCAAACGAAGTTTTTATGTTGGTGAAAAAGGCCAAGATAGCTCTTATAATTGAATCAGCGTCTTGCTTCTTGCAGTTTTTCAATGCACAATTCGCTAACTTTCCATAATGTGTCCAATACTTCAATTTTAATCCATGTAGAATAGGATTTATTTTTCGGCTTTTACATTCATTCAAAGTTATTTCGAGTTGGGGGTCAACTCCAATTAGGCTTGGCTTTTTAACAGATTTAGGCATGTGAAAAAGGTTGTTCCGTTAAAGTGGTAAGAAAACGATTTTTGAAATATAAAAAAAAAAGTAAGGCTGCTTTAAAAAAATTATTGATGACGTAAGGATTTTTTAATTTTAAAGCTTTGGTTAACTCATTCAAGGCGGAACGTGAGTATTGTGGTCCGTTCAATGTTATGGCATGGTTCTCCTCCCCTCCCCCCTTCCTAATCCATTACGCATTATGCTATTTTTGACCATATTACCAGATCTAGACATACGTATTTCGGTATACATGCCATCAAGCGTACTCATTATATATCACCCTGAGCTGTACTATATATAGTAATTTCTCTTATATACCACCTGCAGGATTATTCCCCGACAATCGATGTCCGGTAGGTAGATACAAAGACAAAAAGGTTGACAACGAAAATAAGAAATCTCTCTGTATGATTTACGCAATCTATTTTTACGCAATGCTATGGATAATCTCAATGTTGCAGCAATCGATTTCGGTATCTATTTTTACAATCTGGTATATTGAATAGATACTCGTGAACCCTTGTGTTTGTTTGATCTTAAACTTGGATAGACACATTCCTAGAGAATTCAGAAAAGACATTGGAAGTAAGCTATTACACAAAAAAACAGGATAACCATATGTGTATTGTACTGAATTCGCATATAATGTATGACAATAAATTTATTGGCCTTTTGATGCCAGCTAAGACACCTGATCCTACCTCACGACTAGGCACACCTTGACTGTTCCTAGAGAAAATTGAGCTGTCCCTAAGAAAACAGATCCTAGGCTATGATTACGTGCACTTATTGGCTGTCCTTAAGAAAAGCGCTTAGGTACCCTTTGAGTAAAGACGAAGCTAAGTGGGAATTAGCATGAGCATGGAATTGAGGAAGCCTTGCATACTCGCCAGAGTCACTTTCAATTGTTTGATTTGTGTACAGCTGCTTGCAACATGTAGCTTCAAATTAAAAATGTTACTTGCATTGCCCAGTATAGCAGTCTATGTATCTATCATTACCATAAGTTCGAAAGGACAGCCAAGCATTGCTATGATAGTTTAAAATAGAAAAATAAAATAAGAACAAAATAAGTATTTTGAGATTGATTCTTATTATCAGTATTTGCAATCGGGGATGCTCTTAAGGGGGTCAATTACAACTACACTGTAAAAGCGCCACAGTCCTTCGTTTTTTTTTTGGATTTACTATTATACCCTATACTACTGCTAATGCTATTTTTAAAGGTAGTGTCCTACCACAACAGCGTACAATATTAGGCAATCCACCCACTGTTTGCTCTATACTTTTAAACCAGGAGATAAGAGATTATTACTGTCATTAGTGCAAGGATATACTGTTTGTTGAATGTATTGCTCATGCTCAGGAGTAATTGAGGTAAATTTGCCATAGTTCCCAAGTATCATTTCCAAGCTTCCCGGTTTCTCGGTAGTAATTTCGTCAACGCGTAGTCATGCGAAACTTTATCCTTCATATTCAGAATAAGTATTCCTCATTCCAGGCTTCGTGAATGCCGCTATTTACTACATTTTTTTTTTTCTAATTGACCTTTAGTGTACTCTGGCGGCTCAAGGTTTCATTATAATTTTTTGCTCATTATGGTTTTGAGTGCTAGGTTTGGGATTACTGACTTTACTCAGAGTACGTTCTCCCTCTTCCAGGTGGACATTCTCGTGTGCAACTTCTAAAAGTCTCAGTAAAAAGGCAAGTAACAGCAAATATTGGCTAAGGAGCGACCAATCATTTTTCAGTTGAGACTATATACAACGTTGCACACAAACTAGTTTTGATCAAATGGGTTGTGGAGGGAGATGGGTATAATGAAATTACCTTCTTTGTATAAAGGCATGAGATATGAGTATATTTTTATTCTCCTCCCCCTTCAGTGTAGATCTTGTACAAGGGGGCGGGATAATACAATGCTCTTTTTGGGGGTTAGAACAATAAATCTTTTTTTTTTTTTTTATTATTTTATTTTATTTTGATACAATTAAAAGACGGGTAAAGTATACATGGTTGTTAAAAAGGAGAGAGGCTGATTGGCTCTGTCCAAGAATCTTTTGGCATAATATTTTGAAGGCCTGTATCTATAAGGTTTGCTATGGCTGGTAAATGAACATGTTGATCGATTTGATGATGATGAGGCGAAGATGCAGAGGATTCTGCCTGATCCAGTGATAAACCACTGCTTTTATAAGTTTTCATTGCTTCTTCATACTCTTCCATTTCCTTTTTAAAAGTATCATAGTATATCTAAAGGTAGTGTAAGCACGTCGTTGTTTTTCCACATGCACAAATTAAACTTGCCTGTTTCTCTTCTTTGGGCAATGCTTTCCATTTAAGACCTAAAAGTTTTGTCACATCGCCTATATTTTCTTCTGGGTTTTCATCCTTGATTTTATCACGCTCTAGTCGGCAGAATAGGAAAAAGACGTTACCAGGACCTTTGGGAGCATTAGGATCCTTCTTCTTTTTTGGTGGTTTAATGACAGTAGTATTATTGGGTTGCGCTGGATGTTTATTGTGCTGCTTGTAGATATTCTTTTTTAAATAGATTAAACCCACGTGCGGGAATACAAAAGGGCTTATATTATTTACCTTGTCCAAATCATTATGCAATAGCAAATCAGAGCCAGTATCGGAATCGCTATTTGTATTCATTCCATCATAACCTTTATCGATTCTATCTAATAATAAACTAGTAACAAGCAAAAAAAAAAAAAAGAGATTAATAAAAAAAAAAATTTTTTTCATACCAATCAAAATACTTTACGTTCTTTCTAGTCGAAGACGTTTAATACTTTTCTGAGCTCGAAGTAGCTTTTCCTGAAGTAAATCATTCTCCTGTTCGACGGTTCTGAACCTCTTTTTTAAATCGTCAAGCTTAATATCTAAACAGTGTTAAATTTTATTTTTTTTATTTTTTTATATTTGTAAGTGAATAAAAAGATTACCTTCCATGATTTTGCTGTGAAAGAAAAAAAAGTAGAGGAGTTAAAGAAAGAAAGGAAGAAAAAAAGGGAAAAAAGAAATAAATATAGAAATCCCTCCATGTTTATAATGAAGCAGTCAAAAAGAGCCTTATTCATCCGAAAACGATATGATTTTTTTATTATTGTAACTAATATATTCAAAAGGCGAAATAATTTTATTTTATTTATATTGCATCTACGCTTATTGCTTCTTCTCCTCCTCCTCCTCATCATCATCACTATCGTCACCTTCAGGCTGTTTATTATAATGCAGTTAGTACATGTGTTTAAAAAGAACCAAGAAAACTTACCATATCATCCATATTAGGTAATCCACCACCAGCAGCGCCAGCTTGGGCCATTAAACTTTGGAAGTCTAATCCACCCATGGGGTCAGCAGGTTGTTGACCCTCCTCCTCTTCTTCATCCTCGTCTCTCCACTTTTGGAAATCGACCTTCAAGAAGTTAAGCTTACCACCCTTTTGGAGCTTGGGCCAGTAACCATCTTCTTGCTTGTAGATAGCCATCGTCAAGTTACGAGCTGTTAAGTGCTTCTTGGATTCCTATAATAAACAGGATAAATTCTCCGTGCTTCTTTTTTTTTTCTTTTTCTTTCTTTCTGTTATTACTACTTACTTTGACGTTAACCTTACCGTAGAATTCAATCTCGGCTTCATATTCGTTTTGCTCCTTTTCACCAGTACCCTTGAAAGTGAACTTGTCTTCGGTCAAATCGATTTTATGTTCCTAATAAAACACTTACACTTAGCATTCCCCAATCGTTTCTTTTTTATGTATAAATATATTACTTTACCTTGATGTCAGAGATCTCAACAGTCAAGTAAATCAAATCGGCTCTTTGGGCCCAGAGTACAGTAGGATGGAGAGGCATGTTAAAATACAAAAATATACACTTGTAAAGAGATTAAAGAAAAAAAAAAAACAAAAACTAACGCGTTTTTTTTGTTTAAATATTCGGTCGTTTAAAATAAACTCGGATGACGCAATGGAGCCACTCTTGGGATTCCCAGAACGCTTTACCCCAAGCCACAAAACCTGCATAAAGAATCCTTTCGTGGCCAAACTGAATGTCGGGTTGTTTCAAGTGAATAAATGACTCTAATAAAAAAAACACACTAAAAATTAAAGAGTACGAATATAAATATTTAATCTATTGATTATTACAGGCATCAGTAGCATTATTCTCAAATACACTTTCATAAACCATGTGACGACAGGCTTCTGTCACATTGGGAAGGGATAAACCATGTTGGCTCAGCGACAATGTTTAATCTTTCGGACTTTGTATTTAGCAAGGAATTTTTGAAGCTGTCACGAAATATAAACAAATATTCGATCGAGGGTAGCAACGGGACGTCAAGAAATTCTGCTACACTTTTTGGAAACCTCTCCTGCAGGTTCGATGAACATAGATAGTAAACGAAATTCAGGAACTGTGACATGAAGTATTGATTTTTAGCTGGTTGAAGGGTTCAAAAACTCATTGCGGGCCGATAGACTATCACGACTACACTTTTATGCAATACTATTGAATAGCGATTTTTGCTACTTTCGTTCCTCTTACTAGCCACGGCCGCGCTTTAGTTGAAGGTCGCGTACATTGTTGTGCACTAGAATCAGTTTTTTAAGTCAGCTTCAGCTCAATGGAATTTTCGGGATATAAACTACATTTAGAGGTTTTTAAAAGCATGTGGGTGTTGTTAAAAAAGATGAAGTTGAATAAAGATAAAGCAGGGAAAAAAGAATGAACAAAGTCCGACATTTATTATAAACACGAACAAGTTTACAACAAGACGAGATAATTGAAACAGATTACTATGAAAAATAAAATTTTTACCCTTCTATACTATCCCGCTTAAAGAAACAAGCTCAAAAGCAGGTCTGAGCTTTTCACGAATTGGACAAACTTGGGCCAAAATCACACAGTTCGACCAGATACAAGCAACAAAGCTCATAAGTGCTCCAACATTTCTCAAATTGATTCTGGTATTGTGTCAATCCTGATACAAATTTTACAGACAGTGCTAATTTTAGCGTAGAGAACGATTCTTTATTGCCTAATTGAAGCATGACTTCTGGTTAGTTTATAAGCAGGAACGCATTCGTCTTCAACCTTTTACAAAGATTTATTCTGAGTCCATAAAGTAAAAGAACCCGCGCTGGAGCTGCAATAGCAATTGTGACGAGGATAAGTATGAAAAAAATACAAGAAGGCTTAACAAGCAAACACGTCTCAAATCGCCAAACGTTCTTCTGGAAGATCCATTCTTCTTACCCTGTTGACACTATTAAGTTAGAGGGGGTTTGCAAGATACTATTGTCACTCTTGACAAATCTTTCCTATTAAATTGTTTTAAAAGCAGTTTGAAGATGCCGATAAACCCAAAGAAAATTAATTAATATATGTCCTCAAACGCATTTATAATCGTTTCATTATTTGATTTTATAGTGAGAAAGTGGGCGGAGTTTTCAGAAACCCTATTCCATCTTTCATTTTCCACTGACGACATTCATGCGTTTGCGACACCATCTTCTCGACGATATCTTATGTTTGCTCATAACAAGTCTTTTTATTTCTATTATATTTACCACAAATTGATTGTTTCCTAGTAATTCTGTATGATGCTATTCGTAGTAAGTGTACATATTTAGACATTGCGCACGAATCCTACTGTTTCGTACTGAGCGGAATCCAATTGTAATGCCGGTGAAAAACCAAAAGGAGCGGTATTCTGAGTTGCCTTTGTAGTTTAAAACGATGGCAAACAGTTCTCGAGCTCCATAATTAAAGGGTTTATAAATGCCTGCAAACCATTTTTTGTCTCTTGGCTTAAGGGTGTGAGGATATCATCACCTAGGACGGCAACAGGATCGGGTGATAGTACTTGACCTAAAACATGGTCATATTCAAGTTTCTTTATGGCAGATGTTTTAACGTTTTAAGTCACCAAGTTTGTTTTAATAGATTGTAAATTAGTGCTTCCTGCTAGCAACTTACAGGAAATTCTTAACAAATCATAAAAATGTAGTAGTAGCACATAATGTTCTGAAAATTCTCAATGTAATAGCTATAATAACACGTAGCAGATGCTTCACACGCAGTTGCAAGAAACTAACCATACTTTTTCAGCCCATTTTTTTCTACGTTTAAGCTTACACCCTCTATATTATTAAGCTCCGTCCATATCTTTTCCAAGTGGTGAATATCGGCATACTTTAACTGAAAGTCTTTGATCAGTAGCTGTTTACAAACTACTCTACACAATGAATACCACAAATTTTGTTGAAAAAATTCATCGGGTAAATTATGGGGGTATTGTAAAATGTAGTCATTGACAAAGATTTGAATTTTTAAAAAAACAGGACGTAAGAAACTAGATAGATACTTGAATTATTTTTAGTTAGCCTTCTGTTTCATCCAAAAAGCCCTTTAATGGAAGAGAGATAGTATATCTTTAATATATAGCACCAATATCCTTTTCGATCAATTCTTGCAAGGTATAGTTATGGTTAGGACATAATTTACTTCTCGCGGAGGAGTAACAGGACTTGCAAATTAAGGTGGATGAGCTTGAAGACGCAATGGTCCCTGTTTCTTTTAGCCACACTCTTTTCTTTTTTTCGCTTCAAATGTTTCCGTTCTCTTTAGGCCTGACTTATTTTATGATTTATTATGTTTGGATATATACCTGAACATATACAGTGTATTTTTATCTCTGTTTCCACCAGCAGGTTGATTCATTTTGCTGGTACTTGTTTCGTCCTTCACCTTAGCAAGTTTAGCTTTTATTTTGGCATTTATAAGCTCTTCCGTGTCTGGGTAAATACGAGGTCTCATTTTTTTTTGTGAAAGAAGCACTACTTGATATATTGCCAATTGATTCTAATGCTTAAGTCTACATCATTTGTAGTAATTGAAATTCCGTTTCTCACCCTTTTTTACTGTTATGAACTATCAAGATCAATTGGGGATTTTATAAAGATACACCTTTTAATAATAAACTGTCAATGCAGAATATGAAAGCTGTAAAATTTATAGGACACATCCTTTCATAGCCTTTGTCTGGAAACTTTTTTATTCTATCCAACTATTATAGATACATATTTTTTTTATGTCAGTTTGAATAATTTTTTATTCTTCTGGAATACATTTTAAGTTCATCCGAAAGTAAACTCGACTTGTCTGAATTTAAAATGCTAATTCTAATATGAATGGACTCTATGGGTCCACAACCGAGTAAAAAATATATTCGCTTGCTTCTTTTTGTATTCACTCAATGCTACACAATACACTGTTGTACACACGTGAGGCAATAATGCTTATTTTTTTAAAAAAAAGGTACATTTCGGTAAATTCAAAAGCCACTTTGACATTTTTGCCTGAGGAGTTCGACAGAATGAAAAGCAGTCCGAATAGGCTGTTTTCGGCCCACCGAAAGGGACCACTCTTAATAACGTTCTGGCTACCCAAACAGTGAGATCCTTCTTTTAAAACGATAATATGGGTACGTACATACCATCCATCCATCTGATATAATCATGTATATTAATCCATCATCCATTTTGATTTTCAATGAATAGCTGTCGGCAAGAATAAGTACGCTGGATGCAATTTTTTTTTTAGTTCACCACATGTGTAATTGACACCAATTCTCTTTTTTAAAAAATAGGCGTCTTTCAAAGGGAAAGAAGGGTTTGAAGAAGAAGGTGTAAGTACCATTCCATTTCATAATTGCGAGCGAGAAAGAATTCATTACAGTCAATTGTCGAGCAGAGATCATTACATTTTTGATTTATCGGGATTTGCACATTGAGACAACTTTTCTTTTATCTTTCTCGCCTCTGCATATACATCAGTACCTTAATTGACACGTATTTTTCCCTTTTTTAGCGTTGACCCCTTCACCCGTAAGGATTGGTACGATATCAAGGCTCCTTCCATGTTCGATGTCCGTCAAGTCGGTAAGACTCTTGTCAACCGTACCCAAGGTCTCCGTAACGCCAACGACTCTCTCCTCGGTCGTGTTGTTGAGATGTCTCTTGGTGATTTGTCCAAGGATGAGTCTCGTTCTTTCCGTAAGATCCAATTGAAGGTTGACGAAATCCAAGGTAAGAACTGTCTCACCAACTTCTACCGTATGGATATGACCACCGACAAGCTCCGTTCTATGGTCAAGAAGTGGCAATCTTTGATTGAGGCTTTCGTTGATGTCAAGACTACCGATGGTTATCTTGTCCGTCTCTTCGCCGTCTCTTTCACTTCTCGCCGTCGTAACCAAATCAAGAAGACCACCTATGCTCAAGCTGGTCAAATCCGTCAAATCCGTAAGAAGATGTTCGAGATTATGACTGAAGAAGCTGTTGCTTGTGATCTTAAGGAACTCGTTGCCAAGGTTACCTCTTCCGCCTCTCAATCCGCTCAAGATGCTATCGCTGTCCGTATTGAAAAGGCTTGTCAAGGTATCTACCCTCTCCAAAACACCTACACCCGTAAGGTCAAGATCCTCAAGGCTCCCAAGTTCGATGTCTCTGCTCTTCTTGCTCTTCACGGTGGTGCTAACGCCGCTGGTGATGATACTGGTGCTAAGGCTTCCAAGGATTTCGTTGAACCCGCTGTCCAAGCTTCCGTCTAAATTCTGATTCCAAAATCCTAGATTTTTTTTTTGAATTTAAACTAATAACAAAAAAAAAATAAAACTATTCAAATGTCGCTTGTTTCTTGCCCCATTTTTTAAAAAAAAGAACGACGTGTATTTATGGCTTGATTTTAAAAAAGGTGGGAAATGATAAATGGGTGAAGGAAACCAAATATCACTTGATATATAATTACACAATTCATAATATAGATTAGAGGCTGTAACAACCTATTCGGAAAAAAAAAAAAATGCATTAGCTAATGAAAAGCTTCTGTCTTTTTTCTTCTGCTTACTTTGTTTCCAATACATCGGGATTTTTCCCAAATGTCACCAGATAAATCACTACGAGTAGCCCAGGTATATCATGAGCAAGTTTAATAGGTAACACGCTGTATTGCGTCCAACCGATCATGATATCCTTGACGAACACGATCACGCTGGGAACATAATAAGGCAACAGTGATGTCAAGAATACCAGCCACGATAGTCTATAATTATAAACGTTTTGTACCGTAGGTAAATCAGATCTGGCTGATACCCGCGAAGATGCTGTCATGAATGTCCATACAATAAAATACAGACAGAACAAGACAGAAGGAGGTATAAATCCCAAACATCCGGCAACAATAGTCAAATGTACAGCAAAAGGGCCAGCTGTCTTGATTCGGACAGGAAACACTCCTACGGGTAGACTAATAATATTGACCATGAGAGAAACTGCCAGCCAGATAACAAAGGTCAACCCAATACTGAGTACAAACATAAATAATAATAGACCTGCCATTGTCCAGTCATCGCTTCCAAAAAATATATTCTTGCTTGCAAAAGGTGATGCCGCATATAATTGAATGCTGGTAGCGACTAAAAGCAACGCTGCAATTTGGAGAATCGGTCCCTTGAGACAATTAAATAGAGCAATTTCAAATCTAGAAAATTCACCTATAAAACCCCATAATATTAAAAAAAAAAAAAAACGTTATAGTCAAACGAATTTGTATACGTTACGTTTTCCATTAATTGCATAAGAATATAATTGAGACAAGAGTACAACCAGCGAGATAACCCAGAAAAACAATACCATGATACTGCCATAACGAAGTACACATCGACCAACTGTTCCATACCAATCAATGCTCAATTGGATGTCTAATGTTTGCTCATCCATAAAAAATCGAAGTGATAATCCTTGATGGTTTTTGTCTAAATCTTGATGAAATGTAATTCTATCAGAGATACCTTGTTCAAGTCCTCGATGATATACTATCTCCCGATTATTAATTGCCTGCTGCATAAAAGGCTTGAATAATCTTTCTTGACCATTAATTGATTCTACATGTACATCGAAAGCAAAGAGTGTATTCTTGATAAAAGGGAAAACATGCGTTGTATTAAAACTATCCACGTGAAAATGCAATCCCCTCAGCCCAATATCTATTCGAGTATAATGTCAGTTTACGTCCAAGAGTAGGGAGAGGATTAGATGTTGTACTTACCAAAAATGCTGCTTGTATGCACAACAGGTTTATCTGAAATCGCTTGCCCAGTCAAAAACACCTGGTTATCACCATCCAAAATTCCATCTCCACCGTGATCAATGACACCCACATATTTAAAATTTACTTCTCTTTCAATTTCCAATAGCCTATAAGGATTGGATCCAATCAGATTTTCTGCTGTAGCAGAAGGTAGCAATGTCACATTTGGCTTAACATAATCACAGTTAAAGTTCTCCTGACAAAGGACAGCAGACCATCGACTGTCAAATTCAGGCTGAATATTTGTCAAAAACTGGATTTTTTTAGAAGCATCCATAAATGCCAGAGAAGGGCGTGTTGATTCTTTCGCGAAAGCTAGTAAAATTGAAGGCTCGAAGTGTTTGTCAGTAATTGTATTTAAATCCACCAAAGTGCTTTGTTCTCCAATTGTCGTCCCATCCAATAAGTTGTATCGGAATATGTTCATACGGTCAGCTGGTGTGTCGGCTTTAACCACCTCTAAAAGCGTTGAAGATAATAACTGAATAAATTGTCGACACCATAATATTGCCATATGGTCACATCCTGTCCAGACGTTTGGAATTGATGTGGTGTACGTTGTCAATCCATTCAAAACGCTGCTATCAATATCGATACCGTCCGAATGCACAATATTGTCCAAAGATCCACCTGCAATCGAGATTAATATAACGTCCTTTAGCAACGTATTCTCATTCTGTTTCCAAAACTGCGTAATTTCCTTGTATGTCTTGTAAATAATTGGGTCTAGTAATAAAGGAGCTGTCAAATGAGGTGTTGATATGGTTACAATTGTATCGATGCTATGGGGTATGTAATTATGAAGCATAAACATAGCTCTAGCAACAACACCGCCCATCGAATGGCCAATGATCATGACAGATCTAGGTCTGGGCTCATCGTATAATTGCAAAATGCGTTCGATAACCGCATTTAAATAATTTGCCTGCTCTAACAAGCTTTGTCCGCTTAAAGCCGATAATTCTTCATTTAAATCGACTACGCTATTTTTTTAGTAGTCTCAAAATGCATGTGATCCTCTTCTTTTCTTTTTTTTTTTTACCTGTAAAGAAATCAATGTTTTTTTGTTGATCTGCATTCTGGTGATAAAGATTGGTCGTAGTCGAGGCTAAAGATCTAATTTGACCATAACTTCCGGCTTGTCCGGGTATAAATAAAGCAGGTACACCGTAAAGCTTAAAAACGCGCGAAGTAATTATTATATGATATATATATATTTGACAGTTGTTACAACTTACGCTATTATCGTCTCTGTAACCATCGCGATAAATATAAAGTTTATACTTCTCGGCCAGTTTTGAATCAACACCAGCAATTTCAAAGTAATTAGGCGATGAATAAGTCATTGCACAATTTTGAATATCCTGACGTTGTAAAGGTGAAATGTAGGTCTTTGAACGCTGAAAAAAGTAGGAATCAAACATTGCTGACAGCATGACTATCGTAAAAGAAATCAAAGTCCATGTCAGGACAACTCTTGACTTTTGTCTAGAAATTGGAGTAATTCCATGTCTAGTAAATCCCAACATGAAGAATATGTGTGAAAAAGGGAACACAAATAAACTCCTCTTGAAAATATTTTGTCTAAAATTGATTTGAGAGAATACATGCTATCCTATGCACAAAATTTAAGACCGCCTTGAATAACCATTTAGCCTACGGTCTCGATCGGTATACAGCAAACAAGGTAAGGGTTAAAAAAGGAAGAAACTTGTGGAATAGACATTCTTTTTTTAATACCGTCTTAAAAATAAATTGAAACTGATACACCTTAGCACATCATTCATTGAATGCTGAAACAGGAATATTTTTTCCATCAAGCATAAGAAAGGATTTATTGATCAAGGAACAGGAGAAAGTAGCGTATAATAGTTTGGAGTGGAATTAGTAAAGAAGCATGGACCTTAATTGTCGTTAATCCATAATTTCAAAACTTGGTCGATTAAGGCTGATGCATGAGCTGCTACAAGCATAAACATCGAGTACCAGCAAAGATAAACAAGTTAGAAAACAGAAATATGTTTGTCATTACGTAGAATAAGAAGGTATAAAACGTGTTAAGAATGAAAATACCCGAGATGACCAAAAGTAACACATTATTAGCCGCAAATATCATGATAACGATCTGCTCAATCTATACATAAATGAGATTACGACAAACAACTCATCGCTTTTAATATTATCGTTAAATTTGCATTCCATAAAACGTATGCCCATATATAGTAACTTGGATCGACAATCTATGCATTCTATGCATAAAAAAGTAGTTTAAATTGCACCATTTTAAGATAGATAAGGGATCGTATGATTAAATCGATAATGATTGAACAAAAAATAGTGAAAAATTAGGTGCAAAAAATTCTAGCTTTATTATAATTGTTCTATTGGAGGGTTTTGTATGTTTTTAAAAGAGGAATGCAAAGATATGAAGAAAAGAAAAAGATATATAAAACAAAACAAACGACAAAGTATGGTAGTATAGGTAGAGTATTATGAGATATGATTAAGGGAAAAGAAATGATATAAAAAATTAAAAGCGGATCAAAGAAGGCTCTAACGAAATTAATCGCTATCGGTATCTGGTTCTTTGACACCACCTTCAATCAACCACTTGAGATGACGAGCACGACGACGCTCTTCTTGTAACTTCAAGTCATTTCTAGTCTTCTTCTTCTTCTTGGAAATCTTTGCCTTCACCTTTTCCTCATCAAACTTGGTGGTTTCTTCTTCAACAGATGAGATACCGTCCTTATAAAGCTTACCGGCAATTAACTTCCAACTTTCAGGACATAAGGCATCAACAAACTCGTTTGAATGAGAAATCATAACAACTGCACCATCCCACTTCTTAATAGCAGTAGCAAGACCACCGAGAGCTTCACGATCCAAGAAATTGGTAGGTTCATCAAGAACCAACATATGACAATTGTTCCACATGGCAGCAGCAATAACGACCTTGACCTTTTGACCACCGGAAAGAGCACTCATCTTGGTGAATTGAGCAATATCAGGATCGAGACCAATATCGTTGAAATGTTGACGGATGTGAGGAATAGTCAAGTCACGGTAAAGCAAACCTTCACGAGAAGCTTCCTTATCATCAAATTGTTGAACCACCTTTTGATAACCAAGTTCGAGCAACTTTTCACGAGAGTACCAGGTGTTGAACTTATGAAGCTTATTTCTCCACTTGATCTCATACTGGAAGGTCTTCTTGAGCTTAGTACGACCTAAAAGTGTTTCAATTTGACGGTTTTCACCGTTGACAGAAATCATCTTATCCATTTGCTTGAGTTCATCAGCACTCCATGCACGAGTTTCCTTCTCAGCTACTTCCTTATCTTCACCGGTAGAATAACGCCATTGTAAGTAATCAGTAGGTGTCTTTTCAAGATGTTGGTTCAAATGGTGGAAAGCATGTTGAGCAACATAACCGATACGGAGAGCAGGATGACGCCAGACAGTACCAGTTTGAGGGATAGTCTCACCAGTTAAGAGCTTAATCATAGTAGACTTACCAGCACCATTGGGACCAACAACAGCTACACGAGATGAAAGAGACAAAGAGGCAGATGCGTTGAAGAGAGATGGAACCTTGTTGCCAGGATAAGTGAAGGTACAATCAGTAATCTTGAGAATAGCCTTTGTATTGGATCGAACACCTTGCAAGACAGATGGCTTGGGGAAAGTGAATTCAATAGTAGAGGCATCAAGACTATAGTAAGTACGAGCAGCGGGGTAAACGTCAACGAAGGCAGACAAGTTACCGTGGTACAAACGAAGCTTTCTGTTCTCATAATGGAGAATTTGAGTACAGACATTATCCAAGAAACCAGAGTCATGGGAAACAATAAGACAGGTAACTTGAGATTGATCGTTCAAATAGTCTTCTAACCACTTAATGTTGGTAGTATCCAAATGATTAGTAGGTTCATCCAACAATAAAATATCAGCCTTAGAAAGAATAGCACGAGCAAGTTCAAGCTTCATCTTCCAACCACCGGACAAAGAGGAGACTGACATTTCAAGACGAGCATCATCAAAACCAACATCGCGGAGAGACTTCTCAATTTCGGCACGAGGCAAGTTGGCCAAAAGAGAATCAGCGGCAACATAGTCGATGATTTGAAGAGCAGGATCGGCAGCTTGAGAGTTATAATCAACTAAAGCAGTACGAACCTCATCTTGAGAGGGGAAGCCTTCAACCTTACCACTGTGAATGGCATTCATCAAGGTAGATTTACCAGCACCGTTTTGACCACAGAGACCATAACGTTGACCACGATGCAACTTCAATCTTGTGTGACTCAACAAAAGACGAGTACCATAAGCAAGAGAGAAATCATCGACACGACAAATCTCTTCACCCTCTTGATCATCAAGGAGATCATCGACAGCATCCTTGTTACGACTCTTGTAAAGATCATGAATCTCAGCAAACAAACTATCGACAACGGCGGGAATATCAGACTTCATGACGAAAGCCTTGAGGTAAACAGAAAGAGTTTCGAACCATTTCTCCTTAATGAATGTGTTCTGACGGGTAAAATCGGCAATGATAGTACCAATATAAGAAACATAGGGGTTAAAGAAGGAGTCAACGAAACCTTGGGTCTTGGTAGCAGCAGTCTTGACAGCGGCAACACACTCCTCGATGGAAACCTCGGTAAGGTTACCATCAGCATCAGACTTGACACTATGACCACCGGAAGCGATCAAAGTTTGCTTAGCCTTGTTAGCCAAAACACGGATCTCAGGGAAAGCAGCAGTATCGGCTTGACGTTCAATACCAGGGAACAATTGAGGCAAAAATTGATGAGCGGTACGAGGATCACGAACAAGCTTACACAAGTTATCAGTGATAACAACAGTTTGACGTAAAACAGTAGTAGAACGCTCATTTAAAGCTCTTGTTAAAAGAGGAACCATGATAGCAAGGGTAGGACCGTTTACTTCAGCAACAAAAGTAGTTTGGGCGAGCTTTTCAATGGTTTCGGGTACACGGGTAGGGTTACCCATACACAAGACAAGATCCTTTAAATGACGGTGAATATCAGGGTTACCACCGACAGAACAAATCTTCAACATAGCTTTCTCTGCAGCAAGGGCAACTTCCTTCTTGGTATCAGCAAGACAATCAGAAACGGCGGGAATGATTTCAGGCAAACATTCACCAATTTGTTCAGGAGCTCTTTCAGTGAAACGTTGTAACAACTTCAAAGCACCAATCTTGGTTTGCCATTTCTTACTGTTACCATTACCAAAACCCATACCGGTCAAGAGAACAGGTAAGAGAGCTTTAGTAGCTTCAGCAGGAATTAAATCGACCAAGGTACGAGAAGCAACTTGAGCGGCTTCTTGAACAACAGCACCTTTATCGGCATAGAGATCAAGGAAAGAATCAAGATGGTTTAATAAAAGAGGTTCAATCTCATGAGATAAAACTTCTTCCATAGCGTTGAAAGCGATAAGGCCACCTTCACGTTCTAAACCAGACTTCTTGTTCTTGATTGATGCAGAGAGCTTATCAAGGATTTTGCAAGTCTTGATCATAATCATACCTTGGGTTTGAACAACCTTGGCAAGCTCTTGAGCAGCTTGTTCGACTTCTTCAGAAGTAGGAGCAGTGTTAATCTTGGTGAGGAGATCAGTAACGTTGGTTACTTGTTCATTAGTTGCGGAAACCATCATCTACGTTCTTATTTGGAGTAAAATAGAGAGTGGATTAAACAAAGAAGATAGTGTAAGTGAGTTGTATAAAGAAAAATAAATACAAGTTTAATAAGATTTGGCGATTAACAAATACCAAAAACTATTAAGAGTTTTTTTTCAATAAAAAAAATAGGGAAGGGATAACAACTAAAGAAAACTCTATTAAAAAAAAAAAAAAAAAAGATAGATAAATAAAATTTTTGCTGTGCATTTGAAACCCAGTGCTTTGTTTCGATAAGCGAAAACCACTGATTGACTCCGCAGGAGGTCACTTAACCAATCAAATTGTCTCCCTGTATCAAACAATTTATGCCACCATTAAATTGTGGCTTTTTTACAGAACCAGACAAAGGGGGAAAATAAAGCGAGTCAGCATGTAACATAATTACAAAACACTAGTTTTTGGGGGTAAAAATCATTTAAAATAAACTATTTTGGGAAACGAGTGCATTTCTCCTTTATTTATCCCTCTTCAAGAATGTCTTTATTAACAACTGCTTTCACCATCTTAATAATCATACCCATTGTTCCACTTTTTGCTTATGTGATTGGTTTATTGGTGCCCGCTAGTCACATAGTTCATAGATCTTCTCCGTTTAAAATTTCATCAAAAAGATTATGGGACATCTTAATAAATGTAAATGAATACCCCCAATGGCAGTCCAAGGTTGAAAAAGTAATTCTTTGTGACTCTGATGATGATGAAACAGTCTTTGTAGAATATTCTACTAGAAAACGCCACACCGTTATAATTCATCACGAACGCATTCAAAATCAATGTTTACTTCGTATTCTAGAAGAAAGACACCTTTCTTCTTTGCCGCCTAAAATACCTACATTTTCCGGTTCATGGACTTTTGAAATAATTCAAGAAAAAGAACATGATGATCAAGTGACTCTCAAGATTACTGAACAAGGTGTCATAAAAAAGCCCATGGTTCGTGTCACACATTTGTTACTGTTCGGGTTCTTTAGTCGCATCGATCGATTCATGAATGATTTAAGTAAAAAAATTGATGCCGATAATCAACAATTACTCGTCGACTCTGCTCAAGTTGAAGAGCTATCTATTACGTGTGGTAAAGACGACGGATTAGCCGTAATAGAAGAGTTAGAATTTTCAGTGCCAGCCAAATCAGTAACAGACGACGAATCAGCAGCAGCGGACGAATCAGCAACAGACAGATCAGCAACAGACAGGTCATTAGACGATGAATTAGTAGGGCACGCCACAGCAACGACACTTTTAAGCAGTAAGGAAAATGACACACCTTCCGCGGCTGATCAGAGTCAGCAGTTAGAACCTAATGACACATTGATGACTGAATCAAGAATAGTTGATAAGGAATGGGATTTAATGAGTGAGATTTACGAGCGTACCCCAAATTAAATAAATAATAAATTACCATACATATTATCCACGTTTTATTGTGCATTGGAGTTATGCAGGGATCAACAGTTTGTGAGTATTGATCCAAAAGACTTAAGGTGGTATAAACAAAACCAACGTCATTATCTACTCAGATTTTGGGTTAAAGGATTTCATTGTTTATTTGAAAATCGTTCACAAGACGACTACGTGTAAGACTTTATGTTGTACGAAAACAAATCTAAATTTTAACCAAACGATCATAGGGAAGGTGTTACAAATAGCTACAGGGTATCTTGGAAAGAGGCTTTTTATTTTATTTAATAATTGACAATATATGCAATATTAGCTATAAATCTGTTTATAACTAATGATCAGGGTGTGATAATTTTTACAAAAAAGAAGAGGAAAAATGGAGGGAGGGGGGTATGATTTAACAGCAACACTCATCGGATTCGTCTCCACAACAGAAACAACAAATACATAACGACGCAAAGCTGGGGGAAAAAAATCTGTCAGTAATTTATACTCCTCGTTGTCTATAGTTACTTACATTCCCAAACAGCAATTACAACAAGAGCAATCACAGCAGCAATCGCCACAACAAGGTCTTCTTGGTGGTCCTGGCAAATAATCGGGATAGTGTTGTTGAACCATGACAGGCTGTTGCATACCTTGTCCATTCATTTGCATGGAGGCCATAGGTGGATAAAAGCCTGATTCTCATAAATGAATAAATTTATCGCGAATCATTTTAATAAATATATTTACCTGCTTGCGATTGCTGTGGGCCCATCATACTATAAGCTGGTGTCATACCATTATTGTAATAGGGTGAAGCGACCATTTGTGGCACAGATGGTGAGGGATAGATCGGCGAAGCATACATTTGATTTGGCATTGCCATTTTAAATATTAAGTGTTATATAAGGTGGGAAATAAAAATAAAGAGAGAAAAGAGAAAAAAAAACATCAATGGGTTATAACTTGTTATAAATATTAGGGTCTACATGAAAACAACATTTAGGTCGTACAATGTTTTCATCAATATTTTCTTTTAGTAGCTTTGGTTGAGACGTCATGTTTGCAAAGTCTTGGCCAATCTTTGTGGCATGATGCTCATTGTCTTGAAATCTCTTCTCCATAAATAATTGCGAATGAAGATGCAAAAATAGATCAACATGGGGTTTTCCTTTATTTTACTGCCTTTGGTAGATCCGATTGGTTATCATTTTTCTGTACTCACCAGTTCAGATTTTCTGGCATCATAAACTAATAAGTTTCTTTGTCTACCATTTAAACCATCAGATCCAGAACATTTTTCTCAGAACATGACCAGTTTTTTTGGAGCTCAGTACCAGTAGTGTTTCTGGGTTATTCTTTGCGAGTTTTTTTCATCCTTTTGCTGAGCGTCCTAAGGCAAATCAACAGTTTTCATATTTTTATTCCCAAATCCAAGTATCCGAATAAATAGCAAAAAATAAAAAATAAAAACGCCGGGCCGGTCTGTAGCCGGATGACATTCGGACAAAAACTATGTCCCGTGGGATTTGATAAATGGACTAAAAAGAAAGCTCGAATGCCTTCAAAATTCCTGAAGCGTTAAAAGAATCCAGTAAACTACGTGGTTTACGTATTTATTTATCGTTATAGGGTCTTGTTGTGCAAATAAAAGAACTCATGCAAATTGAGAGCATTAAGCTTTATTAAGTGTAGGTCATTATGTCTGGTATAGAGGTTCTTAGCTCTTTTATTCAAATTCAAGTCCGGATGGGCCCAACATGGTTTTATAAAGGTATTGTGAACCAGCTGATCAATATTTCTTTTATTACGTTTGATTCTAGTGGTGTCTAGTCACGTAAGCTAAATTAAGTAGAAGTCCTTTTTTTATATATATTGGTCCATTGTACTCGATAGTTTATCCAGTAGATTTTGTTTCTTATTACATTGTTCATACGTTTTGAATATCAGTAAACTTTCGGGAGAGATCTATGTATGTTTTAATGGCCCTATTTTTAATTTATGATGATTGTACATAATAGTAAAGCTTCCCAATTGTATTTGCATATTATTTTTAATTTGATTTCCAATATTGTTTAACGAAAATTATCACCATGGTAGAAAGCTGAGATAATAGTTAATCGACTGGTAGAAGAAAAGACCACATTTTATCTATAGTATCGTAAATAATACTTATATAAGTCCACTTCATGTAATTTTTCCTAAGACTCACACAGATGTGGAGAAGGAAAAGAAACACCACACAGAAACACGTCAAATATGTCAAGTATGGAATTATCTGTCTCCTCCTCTTAATGACGGGATAATTATCTTACATTCGATTTGAGACGATTTTTGCTTTGTTTTGTGGAGGTAAAGATCTAAATAAAATGTTTGAGAGAGCCGCAAAGACGGAATATCTTTATGTTGTTTATATGTCGATTCTTTGAAGAAAAAGTTTAATCTTGTATTAAAGGATCTGATCCAAAAGTTCAAGCTGGTTTGTGGGGTCTAGTTCCGCTTGTATTGTATTGTTTAACTTGTCATTCTCCATATTTGTGCTACATTTTATAAAGTAAAATAAACTATATAAAATCGAGTGGTCTCCTCGCGTCCACAATATTTTTGACATCCATAACAAAGAAAAGAAAAAAGAAGTAAAGGATAAAATGCACTCTCATATGTAGTCCAAATAAGTAGGCGTGAATAATAATAAAAATGGTTGTTATTTTTGAATCTATTTTAAGCTATCGCCACTTGATTGTTTGTTATTATTTTTCTGACCTTTAGTACCGAGTTGACCCATGATCGGCTATGACGGGGCCGTTAAATTGTTTTACTACTGATAAACGTCATTGTCTATTAAAAGAATGACAAATTCAGTAGAAACAGTACCTGTTGAATATGTCACTTTTAGCCATTGTGATACGCTTGTATGACCCTGTTCGAGGGTAAATAATTAAACGTGCATTTTGCAATTGTACATGATTTGAAAAGTGTCTTCATAAACTTTACATACCGTAAATTGTATAGTGTATATATGGAAATTCAGGTCATACCAAAAAATCACTGAGCGACCCATTATAAATAAATAATATGGCAGTCGATAAATTATGATTGTCGTTGAAAGTCTGAGAATGCTACAATAGCCCTTTTGTGTATATTACATTTTGCGGCAATAAAATAAATCGGCACGTTTGCATATCTATTTTTGCATCATTTCCGGTCCACTAATAACTTTTATGTACAGTGTAACTATGAATTTTCTTTTATTTTCAGATTATAAAAAAGAAATGGTGATGGTATATATGTACATAATATTATAAGAAAAGGTATCAAAAATTAAGATTTAAGTGCTGGGAGACGTGTAACAGAGTAGGCCTGCAATTTGGGTTTTAATTTATCAAGATCGTCCGAGTAAGCAGAATTGTCAGGACACGATTCAATATGGCTTAAAACATCGGCGACCAATTGATCCAATAAAGAGGAACTAGACTTGACATTATTCGACTTTATATTACTATTTTGTTGCATTTGTAATAACATGGGCGATGGGCGGTAGTTTGTCTCCCTTTTAGCGCTAACCTCATCTATTGGATAGGATGGTTTAGATAGCGGTGATGTGATGATATCATACGTATTATTTTTAACCGGATTAGTCTTGTTATTAAAAGACAATGTTTGTGGAGGACGACGAAGGATACGCGATGGAGAATTAAACAATAGATCTTTTCCGCAAGCTATTCCAAGTTGAATGTCAACAGGCTTTCTCATAGACGAGGCCTCAGTAATTTTGCGAGAAAAATTCAAGAAATGGTGAGCTGAATCAATTGAGGCAATATTCTTGCAGTTATCCTGCTCTTCATCTAATTCTAGTAAAAACTCTGGCTGTTTATTCATGGAAGATATCATAATATAAGGGAAAGAAAGAAAGAAGAGGAGTTAAAGGGAGGTCAAACTCTAATAAATTTATATTCCATGTACACAAGCTATTGCATATCAAATACGGCCATGCGTAAGGGAGCTTAAAAATAAATTATGTGTGTTGTGTGGTTATACGGCCAAAAATATCTATTCTTTTTTCATCTCAAATCCGTTATCATAGGGTATGACAGGCCCTAAAAAAATAGTGATTGTTAAGCTTGGTGGAGCTGCCATTACAAACAAAAGAGGCGTGTGTGAATTGGCACCAGAAAAACAACTTGAGCAAACTTTAAATCATGTGCAATTAGCCTATAAGATATTAAGAAAATCTGGTCACCAACTTGTTTTAGTTCATGGCGCAGGTAGTTTTGGCCATCCACAAGCAAAAAAGTATAATCTAAAAGTCGGTTGGTCTTCATCATCAGATGACAGTAATCCTAACCCTAGTTACGTTAAGGGCTTTTCGCATATCAGATCTTGTTTACAAGAATTGAATTTGGCCATCATTTCAAGGCTGGAATCTAGAAATGTACCTGTATTGGCAATCCCACCAATCGATTATATACAGACACAGAATTGTGAAGACACTTGCACAGAAGAATTCGGTTATATGGCCTCCCGCGTCAAAAAATACTTGGACTTAGGATTTGTACCAGTATTGCACGGTGACGCTGTTTTGGATGATATTAGAGGATGTACGATACTGTCTGGTGATATCATCATGTACCAATTAACAAGATTATTCCCTGCTGTAGCCAGATGTATTTATATTACTGATGTCAGTGGTATATATCAGACAGATCCTAAATTAATCACATCCGAATCGAACGAATTACTTCCTCATGTCTATGTCCAAGAAAATGAAGAAGAAATCGAACAACAGGAAGTATCCGACAGCGTTTTGGCAGATGTCACAGGTGGAATGCAAGGGAAAATTAAATGGGCCAAAAAGATTATTTTGTCAAATAATAGTATTGATACAATCATTTGTAAATGGGGATCCGAAGAAGCTTTAGCCATGATGTCTCTACAATCACCAAATAACGCAATCTATACAATGACTCGATTTACAAAAAAATCATAAATAAACATGATCCAAATTCTATCTCTTTTATTGTTGTGACAAATATTCTTGAACAAGCTTTTTGATCGACTCTGGTTCTTTTTGGTATACTTCCAATAAACGCTCTGTTGCTAAGGCGTGTAAGTCTGATGCATGATTGACTTCATTTGATGTTAATAATTTGGATGCACACTAAACCAGAAATTAGTTGCCGAAAACAATTTTCAAACTTTTAGCTTACCAATTGTAACCCATAAAGCGCTCTAACATTATCTGTACATAACTCTAAAACCTTACAATAATGTTTGAAAGCCAAAGGGAAAAGATTTAAGGTATAAAGGATTTCAGCATACTTTAAAAAGCAAATGTGATTGGAGGGTTGAAGGATGATGATTTCTTCGCAACAATAGGCAGCTTGATCATATAAATGCTTACTCATATATACATCACATAATTCAAGCCATGCTTCATGATCATCATAATAGGTATCTAAATACTTTGTCAAGGCATCGATCATTTCTTGTTCCTTATTTCTTGCCTTCAGTAATGCAATTTGACGCTTTGAAGCCAACTAAGATAAAAGAAATTATGAATACGATGTTGAATTATTCTGTAGTCGTCTTACCATGTTGGTGTCATCTTCTTGTAAGATCGTATCATAGACTTCTTGGGCCTCATCTAATTGACCTTTGGCTTCAAATCGCATACCCAATAGACGACGGAATCGAAGGGACTTTTCTGTGAAACGTTCCTTGAGGTTATCTATACAATACTAGGCACAACAAAAGATATTAGTCATGTTTCAAGAAATCGTCTTTTTTAATACAATTACGTTGGCAAGGGTCAGGTCCTGAACATCAAGAGCGGCGATAGCAACTTGTTCATAAAAAGACCAGACTAAATCAAATAAAATGAATACGAGATGATGATGATGAATTGATCAGATAGTACCTTGATCACCAAGCTTTTGAGTATAATTGTCTTTGATAAGTCTAGCGCCGAGAATAGCTACTCGTTCTGAATTACGCTCGTTTGTTTTACGATACTCCTGAAGATCCTCAATAGCTTGGGCATGATCGAATTTGCTCATTTTTTATGTAAAATAGTAAAAAGGGTATTAAAAAACGCGAAATTTCTGTAGGCCGACGATAATGGCAATGTGTGGTGTATGTATGAAAACGAGATAATCACACACACACCAATAACTACGTCACAAAAAGAAGCTGAAAGGAATACAGAAAGCGACTTGTTTCAAAAGGTTACTGCGAGACCTGTGAGCATGTGTCATTCACATATTTAAAGTAATAGAAATTTCTATTATAAACAAGTATAATGATCAGTTATTTCCCTTTTTTATGTGGTCTTATATAAATAAAAGTTTTTTTTTTTTTTTTTTTTTTTTTTTTCAAAAGGGTTGGTTTCTTCCAATTCAGCTCCGATATTTAAAGTCTATTTTTTTTTATATTTCTACTTTTTCTTTTTTTTCATTATACATTTTTTTTATTACTACATTATTATTATTTTTTAAACATTATATGAATTGTATTCAAACAGGCAAGCCCTTTTAATTTTTTACTTTTTGTTCCTTGACATAATTATTTATACTATTTTTTCTATTTAATAGATAAATTCATTGATTCTCGGTAAAACAACAATTCGGTCTACTGTTTGATCCATTCTAATCAATTTTTAATAACTAGGTTCGATAACAGCACAGAAGAATTAATCCGTATTAGACAATCCGACGATAGTTTAAGCAATAACTATTTAGCACCACTTCAGGATTCACTTCACTCTTTTAGATTTTCTAATTCAAACACTACATCACTTGGTTTGGCATTGGCCCTGTCTAAAGACCATAAGAAAGAATGGAACGACTATCATCGACTTCCACCTCTTACAATGATGGATGATAAATCGGTGTCACCACAACAACTTACACAAATCAGAACTGGACTTCAATCAATTGACATGTCTTCAAATTCTTCGAATATGTCTTCAAATCCAGTCACACCCGATGATAGAGAACCTATCAGCAACATGAAAAGATCAACTTCATTTAGTAATTTCTCTTGCAACTTCCGTAGACATCGTACCACACTTGCTTCAAACTCATTATACCCAAGTACTTCAACCAGTACTACCACTACTACTAAGCCAGCAATCGACTCAAATATATCGAGATATTTGCCTCAAAACCAGGCTGTGATTACAACTCAAGATAACTGGCGCATCAGCCTTTCCAACCATATTGCAACAATGGTTCTATCCGGTTCAAAAAGAAATAATAACCAAGATTTCATTGGAAAGCATATACTCGATTTTATAGATGTGACTCATAGACCCCTATTACTAGAGAAAATAGTGAAGAGAAGAGAGGATCATCATCATTCAAATTTAAACGGAAGCGTATTAATTTGCGGTGACGTTGTAAGTATTAGTCTCCTCATTTTTTTACTTTTTTTTTTTTTTTTTTTTTTTACTTATATGACCTGATATTTTTTTTTAGTTACCCATTGTTAAGCAAGATGGCTCCAAATCATCTGCCTCACTCTGGTTAAAGGAAAAGAAGAATGAAATGGGATCTTCTATTTTTATCTGGATCTTTGAAGAAGTGTTTCAAAGCACAATCAAAGTTGTTCTTAGAAATGGATTGATTGATTCAATTGACGACGGTGTATCCGAATTATTTGGTTATGCTACATGTCAACTATTACAAAAGCCTATTCATACATTATTGCCTCATTTCGACACTTCCCATAGTTTCTTTGGTGCACAAACTAAATTAGATGCCAATTTCCCTGTCATGGTGAAGCATGTGCTTGAAAAAAATATGATCCGAATTATCTCCATGCCGACGTTGGCGGGTCTGGTGACAGTAGGACGAAATGGAACAATTGAAAATTGTAATGCAGCATTCTCAAAATATCTTTTTGGTTACCAAAATGATTTGACACTATCAAATATCTCGCTCTTGATACCCCAATTCACACCACTGATATCTTGTCTTGAACGTGATGATTTGTTACAACCAGGATATATTTTAAACAACCTCGTGTGTCGTGATGTTCTTAATTCTTATTCCAAGATTAGTTGCTCAGCAATTACTGCCAAACATAGAGACGGGACGTCATTTGATATTGATTTGCAAATCAAATTATTGGATGATGGTAATTTCGCTCTGTGGATAACATTTGACAGAGACTCAGTGTTTGCCCAATATGGTCATACGACTTCTATAACTCCAAGACAACAACAACAATTCGAAAAGGAATACAACGGCGTCCTATACCCAACAACAAGTAGCATTCGGTCTAAGTCCATTAATATACCAACTGTACAACAAGACGCCGTAAAGAAAAAAAAATCTGTCAACTTGCCCACGAATCTTAAAGCGGATCGACCTACCGTTGCAATGACCAAAATAACAAGTTTCTCGAGGCCGTCGTTTACATCATCAAAATCCGCTATTGAAACAACAAAACAACATATTATAAATTCAACATGGCCTAGAATTGGCGATTATTCAGCACAAACCTTAAAAACATCCATCGAAGATTACGATATCATCGACGAGCTTGGCCAAGGCGCATATGGATTAGTTAAATTGGCCTGTTTGAAAAACGATCCAGAAAAGGTGCGTGTGTGTGTGCAATTCCCATGAGTTTATTATTAACCCAAATATTTATAGAAACGAGTGGTTATCAAATACGTGATAAAGTCTCGTATTTTAGTTGATTGTTGGACTAGAGATAGGAAATTGGGATTGATTCCTGCTGAAATCCATGTCTTGCATACCCTCAGAAAAATACCCCATATCAACTGCAGTGACATGCTCGATTATTTTGAAGACGAAGACAATTATTATATCGTGATGGATCTCTACGGCGCCGGGATGGACTTATTTGATTATATTGAATTGAAAAATGGAATGAGCGAAGCTGAGATAAAAGCTATCTTCCATCAAGTAGTGTTAGCCGTGGGACATTTGCATGATCACCGTATTGTACATCGTGACATCAAGGACGAAAATGTGATTTTAGATTTAAAAGGTGGTGTCAGATTAATCGACTTCGGCAGTGCCGCATATATAAAAGAAGGTAGAAAATACGAGACATTTGTCGGCACGTTAGATTATGCTGCGCCGGAAATTCTTAAAGGGCAGGCTTACACTGGTCCTCCTCAAGATATCTGGGCTTGTGGTACATTACTTTACACGCTGATTTATAGAGAAAACCCTTTCTATAATATTGATGAAATTATGGAGCACGAATTAAGAATACCTTTTGTATTATCACAAGGTAATATTTATATATAACAAACATGCTCCAAATAACAGCTCACATAAATATTTTTTAGATTCTGTTGACCTCATCAGTAAAATGTTAGACCGTGATATTGATAAAAGATTAAATATCCATCAAGTGCTTGAACATCCTTGGTTTCATTCTAAATAATTTAGGAGGTTATTTTCACACCTCTATGCTGTACTATCCCAACTTTTCTTATTTTTCACATTTAGCCTTTTATTAGTTAAATAATAAAAACTAAGGCCAATACCCTTCCCCTTGTAACATTTTTTTGACAGTGCTTAACAGAGGCAATGTTTGTTATTCATGATCCATGGCTTAATTAAGTTATATCTGGCACTGCATTTATTATTATGAAACTGTATTACAAACACATAAAAAGGCCCAGAAACTAAACTGCCATGATGTGGATCTACTGGTAAAAACAAGTCATTTACAAATAAAAATGCATCATATTGTTTCAATTAAACAAAACAGGAACGAAGCACTAATCAGTCTTAGTACATTCTAAATGCAGGTGTAGACGCACTTTTTTTCCATAAACCTAATATATAAATGTTGGGCGTGTTAATCCACAATTTCGTACACAGTTCCAGAAAAAAAAAAGGGGAGGAGTGTGTGGGGGGAGGGGACGGGAAGGAGGATGTGTGGGGGGCTCTGATTTTTTAAGGAGGTCTGGTGATACGTTGTATTCATGTAACAGGAATGTTTGAATGTCAAAAACAGACATATTGGACTTGCATTACATTGCAGGCTTAACATTTTATTCATAATAATCTCCTTCTTTCACTCTTTCTTCTTCTTTATTTTATTTTTTTTCGCGCCTAAATGAACAACATGTTACCGCCTTTTCATTTTCCTAATGGAAAACCATCTATGAAACATGATGAACATATTTTAAATACAATTGTAAGCTTTGTCATATTATATATTCTTAGTTACAATGTACTTATCTATATATAAGACAACGGTAAAACAATTATACAACTATCGTCCATATTTATCTGAATCACAATTTATACCGATTTCTAAAGCATGTGGGTTACCTCGATATTTAAACATGGCTTTCTTTCGTAAACTGGAATCAATTGGAAAAATGGACATGAAAGTTACATTTTCTGCATTTATAGAGTAAGATTCTTTATGCTTAACAACTTTTTTCCCATCTTTCTAACAATGCTTATTGTAGGGGTTGGACGAGTATGGCAAGATACAAATTTGACGACGAATCGCTGTTTTTTAACGTTCTGCGAAAGACAAACTGCAATTGGATTTCTCCTGAAGACCTTTTACCAGTATTAGAAGGTATGCTAAATTTAAAGTTGTCAACATTGACCTCTAATTTTATTTTAATTTACAGATGTTGTCCTAAATCATCCTGGGCTCAAATTTTTAGGTGACAACCCATTATTTCAAGAAAGATATAGTAAATAATCATGCACATAATTATATATTGAAGCATTGTAAATATTAAAGCATCACTTCTATAGTTGAAACCGTTATTTGCAGAATATATTATGACGGAAGATGCGCAAATGGCCGAATGACTATATCACATTTCCGTAAATCTAACTTTACAAAGATGATAAACAATCTTGGTCCCCATATCGATCTTAACAATGTAATAATTATAATGGACATTGAACATGTAATCACAATAGTGACAACCTTTTGTATAGACTCGCGATTGCTTTTCATACAAGCATTTTTATGTTCTTTATTGCAAATTTTGGGTCCTAGACGAAGATCATGATCTAATTATCTCCGAAAACGATCTTCTAAACTATAACGACGGGCTTCTATCTCCACAAATAACAAAGCAGATCATGCAGCATGGCCGCATACCGGCTTTTGCAAGAGAAAATCAGCCCCCACATTCGTCGATGATGACAGACAAGACGTTGACATATCTAGATTATATATGTATGTCGATATATAAACCCATCGTCATTTTGACTAACATAATAAAACAGGGTTCTTGTTGTCAGAAACCGACAAAAGCACACCAGTCGCTATAGAGTACTGGTACGTAAAATTAGGTATACCACATTTCTAGATCTAATGCATTGCTGTACATAGGTTTCGGTGCATGGATGAAGACGGAGATGGTATCATTACCACCTACGATTTGTCTGAACATTGGAAGGAGCAAGACAAAAAGTAATATAAACCTCGGACAACATTAATAGATATAAAATTAATCATGTTTATTTAAGACTTCAGGATATTATTGAATCATATAGTGACGAATGTATTCGATTTGACGATTTAATATGCCAAATGTAAGCATATCAAACGAACCCCCTTAAACTAATACTTAACCCAATAACTTTAAATTACAGGAATGATTTAATTCAGCCAGAGGTCCCAGGCCAATTTCGCTTAAGTGATTTAAAGCGCAATGGGATTATAGCTGAACGATTCTTTGATACTTTCTTGAATATTGAAAAGTTTCAAATTCACGATACCTATCAAGGGTTAATCCGTTCCATCCAACAACTGGAAAGAGAAAAGAGAAGACTGTACGAACTTGAGAAAAAGAAAACTGTTGACTCCAAACAAAATTTGGCTTCCTTGGTTGGTCATACAGATGACACGATAGTCATTGTAGTAAAAGATCAAGAGTCATCGACAAACGAGGAAGAGCAATTAAGACAGTATCGACAACATCAGCGATCCCAACAACCTTTCTCTTTGGGTGTCTGGTGTGAATATGCCGAAAAAGAATATGATTTATTAATATTGAGTGAACAGTGTAGTTCTGTTGATTCAGATTGGTCTATAAGAAATAATGAACTGGAAGAAGAAGAAGAAGAAGAAGCATTACATCAGATCGCCTTAGAAAACGGCATATTGTCGCTAGGGGAGCAAGAAGTAAATGTATTGATAAGTCCTATTATTCCTGATGTGCCAGAATCAAGATTAAGTGATGAAGAAGTAGAATCGCCCATGCAAGAAAGCAGTGATGATCATGAAAGTGATTCAAGCGCCCCTTCTACCCCTGTTATGCAAGATATAGTCGATGAGAAAAAATGGCTAGACAACGATGGTCAAAAGGTAACAGATGATAAGTCAAGCTGGATCTGGCATTCAGCAGTTAATAATGAATAATATATTTGCTCTTTTTTGTGATAAAAACCTAAATTTTAAAAATAAATCCCATTTTTTCAGTTTGACTGTTTGTTTCTTCTAAGATCGTCATTACAAGGTTAATCTTTTGAAACACGAATAGGCATAAATAAAATATAGTTGTATATGATCTTACATTAATCTTAATCCCTGATATCTTTAACAAAAGTTCAATAGTATCCTTATACTTTAAGTTGTGTTGGTAGTAAATGATGTTAGGAATGCTGGACGTAATACCTTCCCGGGTATTTAATTACAACTGTACCTGCTATGTAGATGAGCCTTGTTATCTGTTGAAAAATTGAGTATTTCAATAGGTTATAGCAGCGGATAGTTTATTTATTTTAAATTAAAAAGTACCCACTTCAATAATATCAATGACATAATTTGAAGTTTGCACTAAGTGAGGCAGGCCTATTTTAGACAAGTTTTTTCGACCGGAGATCAAACTAACTGCTAAAGCTTGACCCTGATTAAAAAAAAAATGCGTAATTCTTCATTTCATCATCGCTATCGGGTATTTGTTTAGCTTGCAATTACAAACTGTTTGTATGATTTACGCAACCATAATAATTGGCTTATAACGTTTACAATCTTTCTAAAAAATTAGAATAAAAAAAAAAAATCAAACGGAACGAGCTTGATTGGTGCTTTTTACTTTTTCTATTTGGACTATGAAAAAATTCTTTTTTCGGGCTCGAGATTTGGGCGGGAATAATAATTTTTCTTGCCCCTGGTCAACAGGAACAATTATGCTATTGGATACTTGTTTTAGCATCCTGTCAAAATACGAGCTATACTTGGAAAGAAGCATCTGAAAAAAGAAGGGCTTAAATTTACATTCTATTTCCTAAATGGTTATTTTAGGGTATTCGTACTTCCTAAAATTTAGTCCAATGTGTAGAAAATGAGCGGAAGTTAACTAAAATGGTAATTTGGGTTGGCGATCTGGTGTAACAAGGTCTCATGTGTGTGGGTATCTCACATTGTATAAATATTTTAGATTGTTTCTTTTTTTTCCATTTTTCATATTAAATTTTTTTCCCATTTCTCCTCAGGCACACTATGATGCTCCTCAAACACCGTATAAATTTTCTGAAAAAGAGACCCCGTGTAGTTAAAAAGAAGACAGCCATATCTATCAAATGCAACACAAGGCAGCTTCCACTTGAAATCCAAGAAATTATATGTTTTATGGTATTGGGCGAAGATAATTCGAGTTCGTTTGCTTTAACAGCAATGAGAGTATGCAAGACATGGGCAAGCTTAGTTTGTGAACGTATGTATAGGTATGTAAACTATATATACACCGATATAATCATGTAATTAAACAGTTTTTTTTTGTAGACAGTATCAGTTTCAAAACTACCTTCAATTTATTGGATTTGTAAATACAATTTCTCTCGAAAATCCAATTCTTCCCTACAATTTGTATGTGAAAGATATTGACCTCGCACCAGTAAACAAATATGGTGTAGATGTCCGAGTTCGGAAATTGATCAAGTACTGCCCAAACATCGTTACCATTACTCTTGGCCATATCACTAGCGTTAAAGCCGATACACTTCAATTGATGGCTCGATACTGCCGAACTGTGCATACGCTTCAGATGGGTGGAATACAAAGCTTCCCATTCATGTTTGATTGTGATTTCTCAGGTATGACAGGTTTACGGAACTTGTCTTTGACTACAACACCTTTGCAAACATCATCACTGCAATCATTACCAACCTCAATTCGCCACTTACAGCTGGTCCAAATGGATTCGATTCAACTTGCCGAACTTTCTGACTTTTTAGGCCGTCATTCCAAGTTAATCACGCTTTCAATTCGCCGCTGCAAACACATTACGAATAACTTTGCGCAATTGATGGCGCAATTGCCCCTTCTAAAAGAGCTTGAAGTGTATGGCCCAGAAATAAATGACTCTGCTCTTAGAGGACTCTTTGATATACCCGCTGTTCTGCACACTTTAAGAATCTGTCATACCCAGATCACAGATTCCACCTTGGATGCTTTGACCAATGGCCGCCTTGTGATACATCATTTGAACATTTCCAACAATGCCAATGTTACAAAAATTGGAATCGAACAATTGTTACGAACAAAGCAACTAAAATTAATTGCTTAAAGATATCATGTCTGAACAATGAGGACAAAATTTTTATCTGATTGAATTTTTATACGATAATAATAAATTGATTCTGTTTATTATACCCCTTTTATTTTCGGATAGTTACTTTATTATACATGATTTTGACTTTCTGCATCATTAGAAATGATGAGATGATGATGGCTCATTGACGTATATTTTTCGATTTTGTTGAAAAATCTATTTTAAGACAATAACAAGGGAACCCGTTTTATGAGTTAAATCGCCTTTAATGCATTTAGTGATATTTTAATCTCAAATCCACAAAATAAAGCCGCGGTAAACAGCCGTTTTTTTAAAGTACGTCGTTAATTGGTTTACTCAATAAGCATTTTTTTTAATAATGGCAGTGTACCCTGTTATAACAATATAGAGGTGATCATTTAATCATTCAAGGTAATGGTTTGTCAGGTAATGCGAATAATTACTCGGAAAATTGTCAGATTACTCTTGTGAACACAATGTTTATTTTTGTCACTGTTTTTTATGATAGTGAGTATAAAAAAAATATTAGGCAGTGAATTCTCCTAATAATTCAGCAGGATGGTATTCGCCCGTTGCAATTTGGTTAGCTCTCTTGACAAGATCATAGGTGATTTCTGAAGACACGACAGAATCTTTTTTATACGCAGGATGGTTCATGACAAATTGACGGATGTATGCGGCGCCGGTCATAAGTTCACCACTTGCTCTCTTACTGATCAAGCTTAAGTAGGATGATATTTTACAGCGAGTTTCAATATCGATATTTGTGCTATTTAAATAGCTGTATATTAAAGGCATGAGACCAGGGAATTCATTTTCCTAAGTGGTACAATGATTTAGTAAAGCGATCATGTGCCAAATTTTCACTTCCTTTTTATACCTTTCCGTTAATGATTTCATTCATAGTCATTAAAACACATTCATCCTCTTTCTCTTCATCCACAGGAGTTCTAGATTGACCATTAGGAGAAGTGAAGATATTTTTACGGAAATAGAATTTTTCATTCAAGACAGCGTCACGTTTATGGGCGGTTTGCATGTTGGCATCCACCTTAGAAATGGGCATGTAAAAGTTAAGACCGAAACTGAGAATGACACGGGTTAACAAGACAATAAAGACAGAATAAGCAGCATTTTCGAAATCGGAAATCTGAACCTCCATACTTCTAAATTCTACACGCCATCCGATAGGCGAGTTTGGTGGTGGTGGCTTGAAACGCATTGTTTGCCAATTCGTAGATTGAAGATTCTAGAAGAAAAAGGAAATCAAGCACATCATAGTTGAGTATAATGTCGCCTTTACATATCTGTGTTGCCTTACCTCGAAATGATCTGAAGATTTTTGATCATCTAAATCTAAAAGTTCCTTGAAGATAACAAGAGGGTCACGGATGAAAAGATGAGCAATATGTCTGGCCAATTTATCGTCAACACCATCCTTTGTCAATGTATCGTACACATCATGATCATATACCAAATCAATATCATCGTATTTAGACTTGTATGTTGCGTCGTTGGATAAGTAAGAATCAATAGAATCATATCGGGACTTGTTGATAACAAAACGGTCATTTTCAAGAGGCTAGTTTTAATTATTAGTGATGAAACCCCAACATGTTTCGAGATCTAACACTTGTTACCTTCAAACCTCTTTCCTCTAAAGTTCTATCGTCAACACTTGAAGAAATAACATTCCATCTAGCGTCCACATCAGCTAAATAACCACGATATATGGGAGAGTTGGCAGAAAGGGCCATCTACGTATATCGCATTAGGTGTCACATTTATTTTAAAGTCGCACTACTTACCATAATAGGTGCAACGGGTGCAAGTTGATCGTATAATCTTCTGCCTTCATCAATATTACATGCTTGGAAGGTAATTTGTAAGCAACAACAACCCATACCGAATGCCATTGCATCCATGTAAATATGATCCGGTAATGCAGCACCGTTCTTTGCTTCTACGTCATGCTTGAATAAATCACGATCCCAAGGGATAGTGGGATCGTAAAAAGGCTTGGGTGTATTTACATCATGATAGATAGGCATATTGATTTGTACTTTAGCTCCTCTACGACGACGGATATTAGCAGTGAGAGTACTATAATTAACGTTGAGTATATAATGTCAATATTGATGCCAGTTTAGAAATAATACTTTACGGGAAGCGTGCATGAGGATTAATAATCTCATCAGGAACGAACATACTTTGACAAGCTTTTCCGTTGGGTTCATGGTCAGGATATAATTCATTGGGACAACCTAAACGAGGATAGTTGACCAAACTAACAGCGTATTCATCGGGGTTCATGGCGTCGTGGGCCATTTTACGACGAAGTTTCATGTTATCTTCGACCGCAATCAAATCACGGAATGTGGCGCCGTAAGGTACTCCCGGAGTACCTTCAATCATATAACGACCATATTCAGGTCTCCATAAAGCATCAGGCACAACCCTGATAATTCAATACCATTCAATATGTGATCCCGACCATAGTTTTATTCTTCCCACTTACTCTGTCTTTCCTTCCAACCATTCATGTTCGGGCTTTTCCAAAATTTCAAGAATATCAAAAGCACGGAGTGATAACTTGGTGGTCTTTTCTTCGTCATTAAATTTTACAACAATATATTCAATCTATAGAGTATCTTCAATACCTGTAAAGTATTTAATATCGTGTATAATTCGTACCTCGTCACCCCAAAGCAAGTGCTGCTTTTGTACGTCCTTATGGCTATGGTAAATATTGAGGAACTGCACAATGCCGTGCTTTCTGACATGGTCGGCATATTTTTTAGCTTCGCTCCAAGGAAGTGGTGTACCGAGAGATAAGAGACCCATACTATTATATTCGTGGTTTTTTTTTTGTGTAAAGTAAAGAAGAAGAAAAAAAAAATGGATTTGTAATCGGCCTTGAGATTTTAAAAGCCACCGCGAGAGATGTAAATTCAGATTACGCTGCCAAACAGCAAAGTCCTTTATTTGGTAGTATACGTAATTTCTGTTCCTTTGAGTTCCATAATGTCCGTGTTACATGTGTAAGGTCTATAAGAGTTAGTAATTTCTATTGAACAGATGATAATCTATTTAAAACCTGTCCCTGTTTACCGAGCATGATTGTATATCATTAAAATCTAATCACAGGTTAAATAAAAAGATGCCAATAAACTCTTAATCAGTCACGGGAAATAATGACATTTTCGGCTTGTGGCCGTTTTCGTAAAAAGGTGTAATTCAAAAGTCTTCAGAACATTGGTTATGCAAAAAATTTAAACCACAATTACACATCATTTCTTTTTTTTTTACCAGGGATATATGGAATAATGTTTAATTTTACAATTTAAATAGCTTGTCTAATTTTTATAAGACGCCCTTAGTTGAAGGGACATCATTGGTACCAGTTCTTGTGACAGCTTCACGAATAGCGACAGCCAAAGACTTGAAGGCGGATTCAGCCTTGTGGTGATCATTTCTACCCTTCAAAACATCAACATGGAGGGTAATACCAGCAGCACCAGCAAAAGATTCCAAGACGTGAGGAATCATCTCACAAGATAATTGTCCAACCATCTCGCGCTTCAAGTCAAGGTTGATATCAGCAAATGGACGACCCGAGATATCAACAACAGATCTGGAAAGTGCCTATTATTTCGGTGTTTAGTCCAAATCAAACAATCAATTAAATCTATATTGTACCTCATCCAATGGGCAGAATGCGGAGCCAAAACGCTTGATACCTCTGGGAGTACCAAGAGCCTTCTTAAATGCCATACCAAGGGCAATACCGGTGTCTTCAGCGGTATGGTGATCATCAATGTGGAGATCTCCCTTACAGGTCAAATTCAAAGACCAGCCACCATGTTTGGCAAGAGCGTGATACATCTATTTACCATACTTATTAGCCATACTCTCTGTATATATTTTTTTTTGACATTTCGACATTGTCTTACATGATCAAGGAAACCAATACCGGTGTCAATGTGAATTTTTTGGTCGAACTTGTCATCAAGATTAATGGTAATCTTAATATCAGTTTCGTTTGTCTTTCTATCTAAAGTTGCTGTACGTGGAGTATCCATTTCAATATAAGTGTGAGCGGAAAGGGGGAAGAGAGAGAGGGGGAGTGTACCAAAAAAGTGGGTTTTTATGACTCTTTTTAGGTTAACCCTTGACTGCCTTTTTTAATAACTTTGATTTGCCCACACATTACAGATACAATTGATTGGACGGATTGACAGGAATACTTGACGAGTTTAGAAGCTTTTAAACAAACTCAGGTGAAAAAGGCGCTTCATTTTCATAATACCTAGCTGTTTAAAGTAGCACTAGCAATACAAATTACGCATGATTGCGTTATTTGGCGTCATTTGCGTTTTATAAACAGGTGGTTCGATTATGTATGCCAAAAAGCAGGATTTAACATGTATTTGTATCCCACATTTTTGGTTGGCGAAATTAATCATGGAGAATAACATAATAAATCAACGGCGGAACAAATGTGAGACTACATATAAATGCACGGAAAAAATTAACAATGTCCTTTTTTTTTTTAATCATTTGAATTTTTTTTTTTTTACTTTCGATATGGTTAAAGTTACTATTTGTGGTGCTGCAGGTGGAATCGGTCAACCTCTCTCGCTCCTGATGAAGCAATCAAATGACATAGATCACCTTTCATTGTTTGATATTGCTAATGCTAAAGGTGTCGCTTCTGATATCAGGTATAAAATTTTTTTTCTTTCGCATGAAATGATCAGCCTTCCCATTTTGCTTTTGTTTTGACCACACCACCGTTTTTAGTCACATTAATACTCACAGCAAAGTTACCGGCCATAATGGACCTCAAGAAGTAAAAGAGGCACTTGAAAATTCAGATATAGGTATGTTGGGGGTTCTTTACATTTACTGGATTTATTCAAAAATATTAATATTGCCAAACCAGTTCTTGTTTCAGCTGGTGTACCACGTAAACCTGGCATGGAAAGAGATGATCTTTTCAAGGTGAACGCAGGCATTGTCAGAGACATCTGTACTTCCATCGCAACTTATGCACCTAACGCACTTGTATGCATCATTTCAAATCCAGTAAATGCTACTGTTGTTGTTGCATCCGAAGTGTTCAAAAAGTACGGTGTATATAACCCACGCAAAATATTCGGTGTTAATACTTTGGATATTATCCGTTCATCTTCCTTCTTGGCAGAATTAATTCATGCCGATCCCGCTAGTATCGAGGTTCCCGTCATTGGTGGTCATAATGGTACAACCATTATTCCTATCTTCTCACAGGTTGAGAGCGCCAAAAATTTGAGCGAAGAAGAAATTGCTCAGATCACAAAACGTGTTCAATATGCAGGTGATGAGGTACTTAAAGCGAAAGAAGGCAAAGGCACTGCGACTTTAGCTATGGCACATGCTGGCGCTCGTTTTGCTTTAAAACTAGTGGATGCTGTTGCAAACAATGTTACTCACACAGAGTGCTCCTATATCAGTCTTCTGGCTGACCCTGAAGGGTCTAAAGAAATGGAGCGTATCTATGGACAGATAGGATACTTTGCTGTTCCTATTGAGCTTGGCAAAGAGGGCATCAAGCGAATCATTCCTATCAAGAAAATTTCTACTGTCGAATTCACTATGCTTCACCATGCTGTTATTGAGTTGAAGGCGAGTATCGCTCAAGGTGTGCAATTTTCTGAAGGCCAACAATAATAATAAGAAAAAAAAAAACGCTTAATACTCAACTCTTTGGTATGAATCCGCTTTTAACTATGTAATAAATAAAACGACCTTTAACCTCTTGCTTATTCCATGATTTTTATTTGCACATATTTTATTTGACCCTTTCGTAACACACACACACACAATCAAGTCATAACGTGGGCGGAAAAATTGGGTTTTTTTTATTCATAATTTTTGTTCTTTTTTTTTAATATGTATCAAAATGCAAATGCTGATTCTACTAACATGCTACTGTTACCTCCACTTTCTTCGTCATCTTCTGAATAGGCAATTTCCCCATCCTCCATTTCATCGTCTTCTTCAAGATTAGAAGAAGTATCCATGGTGCTTTCGGAAGGAGTCATGACGGTATTGGGTGAATGCATCAATGGATGTCTAAAACCTTGAGATTTTAAGGGTTTGGTAGGCACACGTCGTTGATGAGCTTCATAGCGCGCTCGCTTCTGTCGCATCATTTCTTCATCCTCTTCCTCTTCCTCGTCATCCTCGTCTTCACTATCTGTAGCTATGTCGCTGAGGTATTGTCGATTAGCCACATGGGGAGGTGGAGTAATCGATGACAGGACGGGAGTTTTCGATGCTACAGATACAGAAGAGGTTGCACTACCACCACCAATAACAGCGGAACTACTAGAAGCAGAAGCAATCGGTAGCGTATCCGTCATGGATTTACGTTTACGGCTACGGATTTGGCGTTTTTGAGGTTGTTTAGGTCGAAGAATAAGCTCACATAATGCATCAATACGTCTTTGGATCACAAGTTCTTTAGGCCAGGCAATACGGATCAACATCGCGGCAGTCGATTCCAGGTTGGGATCTTCCAGTGTGCTATTCTCAATATTTCGTTGTACAATACGGTGGAATGGCAATTCCGTGTCGTTCACCATCAAATCGTGTCTTCCAATACCATGTTTACAAATACCTTCCAATAAAGCTTTATCATGTAAAGGCACTTCCCACCATCTTTTTTTTTTAAAGGAAGTTTAGCTATATATCCTTCAATTACAATATATATAAAAAAAGAGAAACTTACGGTGGTAGACCGGATGTTTTTCTTGCCTTAGCAATCGAAATGTCATAATCGGGATCCACCACAACTAGCTCACGAATTTTCTTCATTTGATCAACTCGTTTCAGAGCTCGTCTTGCTTTATCATACGGAATTGTATCCACCAATTCCAGCTCCTCCGTGGCAGCTTCCTCACTCGACTCACGACTCTTTTGATCATCTTCCGTCTTTTGTTGTTTCTTCATGATTTCCTTACAAGCCGCAATGAATTTATAATAGTACAAATCCAACGAGGCATCTGTTCGATTCTCCAAACCCGAGATCTCTCGGAATCTCTCCCATCGAATATTAGGATCTCCTTGTACGGTCTCTACACCAAACGATAAAATCGTACGCATGAAATCGCCTCGGTTCTTCTTTTGCCAGCGATTTCCGGAATCCGTGGCTCGACGTGAACTTCGGCCTCCTCCTCCCCCACCAGCTGTACCTGTCGCTCTTCCATGACCTGTCACAGCAGTTGGACCGCCTCCTCGTCTTCTACGATTCTCATTCCCTTCTTCTCGTAAAAATGCTGCAATGATACGTCGCAAGCGCATGCCAATATCAGCTTTTGAAGGCCACACATACACCGTGGCATCTCCTCCCGTTGTACCTACATCATAATCATCTTGTGCGCCCAATGCCGCTTCATCATCATCTTCTTGGAGTGTGCCGGCTTTACTATCATCAAACGTCTTGCCATAAAAACAAAATTCTTTATCTTTACGCATTGTTAAGTATTGTTGATATCCGTGTTTACAAATACCCAATAATAAATCACGATCTTCAGACTCTCCCCACCAATCACACGGTAAAGATCCTGTGACTTTAGGAATTGGTAATACTTTAGCCACTTGCCAGTCTTTGGGCACAATACGATCTCGAACCATATGAAGCATTTGAATTCTTAATAGAAAGTTACGACCTTTTCTTTCAATATGTTCAATATAATCCGTTGGTGCAGAGATCAAGAACGATCTGAATTCAGCAATATGTTTCTTGGATGCGCCGACATAAGGGATTGTAGGATCACTGGATTCATCCTTGGCATCACTGGATAGGATAAAATCAATATCTTCCAATAACTTGCGGTCTTCTTCCGAATTGGCTTCTACCACATGTCTTACTTTGCGCATCAAGTAACGTGTTGCTGCTTTCAGGTCCTTTTCGGTACGACGTGGGAAATGAACTTGCATTTGTTGCCAGGGCCCATATCCATAGATCATGAGTTTACGTTCATATTTCGTCTTTTCAGAAAGTGTCCAAGGTCGAGGAGCATCCCGTTTACCGGATTTATCCGTTTCATCCTCGTACGCATCGGAATCATCGGCATTGTCATTGGAAGAATAGGCACCATCGGCATTACGTGTACCAAATCGTTGTACTTGACGTCGACGACGTGGTTCATATACAATCAAATCATTCTCGTCCGGTGTATCCTGAACATCCAAATTCGCTTTTGCTGCCCACTTTTCCCAAAAATCGGGGTCATCCAATTCCACACCTTGTTCCGTTGAAGAAGAAAACGTAGCCTTGGAGAAAATAGACCCCTTTTCGTTTCCTTCATGACGGATGACGGTCGTACGTCTTTCCAGAATTTGATCAATATCTTCTTCACAAAACTGTTGACTTTCCTCATCATCCATCACAGCACCATACGCTCCCTTTTTCAATAAAGCTTCGATTTCTTTACGGTTCAATTCGTTCTTGGACATATTCGACGCTTCTTCTTCTGCTGTACCAGGATGTGGGTGTTGCGTTGTACTCATACGTTGCATCACGGCTTTATCTAGTCCGAGTTTCATACCCGCTCGATCAAACATGTCTTTTTCATACGTGTTACGACAAATCAATCGATACACTTGCACAGGCTTCGTTTGTCCAATACGATGACAACGTGCTTGCGCTTGTAAATCGTTTTGGGGATTCCAATCACTATCGAAAATAATACACGTATCCGCCGCCTATGGAAAAAATAAAAAGTTAATTATCTCCATCACCATCTGATTTATTATTATTATTATTATTATTCCACTTACGGTTAAATTAATACCAACACCACCTGCTCTGGTACATAATAAAAACACAAACGACTGATCAATGGGAAGAGTTGAGAAACGATCAATGGCAGCCTGTCTTTGATCTCCAGGTACACTACCATCGATACGTTCATGGGGGTATTGTCTTCCACGAAGATAATCAGACAAGATATCCAAGCAACTACGGTAAAGAAAGGATTAGAATTTCCTAATACTCTATGTACACACACACACACTCGTTCATTATATATATATAAAAAAAGAGACAAACCTAGTGAATTGAGAAAAAATCAAGACTTTGTGGTTTCCTTCAAACAATTTACGAAGTAATTTATCAATCAAGACCAATTTACCAGATGAATCAATCAAGCAGGAAAATTGTTCCTGAGGAGTTTTGGCTCGACTGTCACTCACAATCACTTCTTCTGCTCCTTCCAATAAGTAAGGATGGATACAGCATTTTCTTAATTGCATCATGATGTTACGTAAATGAGGCATTTCCTTGTTGGCTATTCCCAGCATCCAATGTCAATAATTTATGTACATTTACATATCCAATATATATATATAAAAAATACTTACATTTGGCTCCCTTGCGTAAGAAACTGAAATTCTTTTCAAGAATGGCTCGGTACCATTTCTTTTGAGGGTTGGTTAATTCCACTTCAATCACGGTTTCTTCCTTGACAGGAATACTCTTTTCGACATCTTCTTTAAATCTTCTCAACATGATGGGTTTCAACAATGCTTGCAATTTCTCTACCTCGTGTGCAGTTTCTAACCTTCCGTATTCGGCGAAAAAGGCACGTTCATTGCTAAACACTTCTGGCTGCATAAAATTCAACAAACTGTATAACTCATCCAAATTATTCTGCAAAGGTGTACCCGTCAACAGCAACTTGTGATCAATCGAAAACGCCTTCAATAATTCGCCGACCTTGGATTGTTTGTTCTTCAATCGATGTGCTTCATCAAACACCGCACATTTCCAAGGAATATCCTTGATATGAGGAGCTCCCACCGAAGCCATTTCATAGGTCGTGATCAACACATCAAACTTGAATCGGTTGGGAATAGGTTTACTCTGAACATCCTTATAATAGAATTCGGTTTCGACCAGCAAATTACGCGACAAGAGACTACCACGATAATCAATCACATTTAAATCGGTCCATGCACGAAACGCTCTTTCCCAGTGCGGAATGGTCGATAATGGTGCCACAATCAAGAAGGGTCCTCGGACATTTAACTGGTAGTACAAGTCATTCAGAAATGCTACCGATTGCACCGTTTTACCCAGTCCCATCTCATCCGCCAATATACACGAACGGTAATTGTAATAACAGAATCGGATCCAATTTAATCCTTCCAATTGGTAACTACGCAATTCGTTACCAAACTTGTATTTCATTCCACCCGCATATTTCATAAATTGAGTATAGTCGGGTCTTTTAGGTGGATTGGGTAGTTTTTCTTGCGGGATGATACGATGGCTTTGGAATTCATGAATCTTTGCAATATCCATCTAGTGGTACCATTTGGTCAGTACAATTCTTTTTTAAAAAAAGAAGCAGACATGTAAATTTAAACGAACCTTTTGTACATCTTCTTCACTCTCCCAGGTACTAGCATCATAGAATAAACCATTCCATTTGACAAGATAAAATATACTAGGTTCACCCGTTACGGGATCCGCCAATTCGCCTTCATCAATGATACGATCCACTTTCAGATATTCCGAAAAATCTTCTCCCTTTTGACCATCCATATGCCATTTCGTCAAGAACTTTTTCACCCGATGTTTTCCTAAGTGTTCCGCCTCGATTTTCTCCTTGGGTAACCATTCGACGTGATGATAACTCGAATATTTGTATTTCACCAATAATTCATGACCTCCCGTTCGACTGTTGAATCGATAATCCAACATCTTTTCAAACGTCTTGGTACCCATCGGAATCATCACCACGGGGGCTTCCGTCTTGGGCTTGGGTTGTTCAAAATCACTATCATCCGATTGCTCAGGTAATCGTAATTCTTCCTCCTCTTCATCATCTTCTTCATCATTTACCATCTCTTCATCATCATCAGAGGATTCATCATATTTAACACGTCTCTTGGTGGTCGTTCGGCTGGATCTCTTTTGAGATTTGGACGACGAAGAAGAGGGAATAGGCGAATGTTGTTGTTGTTGTTGAAATAATATCTGTTGTTGCTGATGTTGTTGTTGCTGCTGTTGTTGAGGACGATATTGATGATGATATTGTTGTTGTTGCTGATGTTGATGATGATGATGTTGTTGTTGCTGTTGTTGCTGCTGCTGCTGCTGTTGTTGTTGGTGCTTTTGTCTTTGCAACTGTTGCTGTAAATGCAACTGCTGTTGTCTTTGTAATAACATATGTTGTTGTTGCTGCAATTGCTGTTGATATTGTTGTTGCTGTTGCTGCTGAGGATGCATTGAGAAAGACTGTTGTTGCAACGGCATGGTATCATATCTTGGCTGATGATTGGGTCCAGATATTGGGACCCCGTCATAGTTGCCCTGATAACTGGAGTTGTTATTTGGAAAGTTCATCAAATTCACATATTGTTGCTGTTGCTGCTGTTGGGGACCAATGGTGACGGCAGATACGGTGGCACCTGTAGAGGCAGTGGGTACCCCTTCTGGTTGTGGTATAAAATGGGTTGGATATTGGGGGCTATGGTTATAGAATCCATTGTTAGTAAAGCCTTCAGCCGTTGCATGCGTATCCACAAATAATTGTTGGTAATCTGAAAATAAATCTTGTTCATCCATAGATTGTTGTCCGTAGGCTTGTTGAGACAATGGAAGTCCTTGTCCTTGTTGATGCGACATTGAACGCGTGTACTTTATTTTTCTTTTTTTATAACCTTTTTTTTATATATATTTGTATGTAAGTTTTTTTTTTTTTTTTTTTTTTTTTTTTTTTTTAGTATATTTTTTTTTTTACAATTGAGATGTATTTTCTTGTGATGAAACTAGAGATGGTGGAGTAATCAACCAAAGAGTACAAACAAAAAAAGGGCAATTGCGGTTGTGTAAATGTATAAAAACAGAAAAAAAAAGTAGAAAAAGAATCAATCTCTTGTTAATGAAAGTGGATTACAATAACTGAAAAAAAAAAAAAAAAGATTGAACAACAAAAAAATTGGGCCAATCAAAATTGTATCACTAAACGTTTCATCCTCCCTTTCCCAAAGTCATATTTGAATTCCCTTATTATGTATTTTTATTTAAGCTTCAAGGTCGCTAAATTTAGCCTCAATTTCCTTGAAAAGAGCAGCATATTTTTCACAAAGAACATCCTCACCATCGGCAGGATCTTCAAACTTCATGGAAGACAACTTGTAAATGATATCACCCATGGATTCACGAATCTTGGACCAAGTGATTTGGTTGTTGGAAGATTCAACAGCATGTGTAGCACGATCATAGAAACCAATCATATTACGTAACATCCAGGTGGTCTTGAAGAAAGGACAGTAACGATCGTAATTACTGTAACCGTTTTGTTGAAGGAAATCATCCTTGATGATTTGAGCAACTTCCAAGGTAATCTTGTCAGATTCGTTCAAACCAGATTTACCGACAAGTTGAACAATTTCCGAAAGATTCTCTTCCATTTGAAGAATCTCTTTACACTTGTCACGAAGATGAATATACTCAGGATCGTTCTTTTCATAGTAAGGTTCCAACACCTTCATGTACTTGGAGTAAGACAAATTCCAGTTCACAGAAGGGAAATGCTTACGTTGAGCCAACTTTTTATCAAGACCCCAAAAGACTTGAACAATACCCAAGGTAGAGGCAGTCACGGGATCAGAGAAATCACCACCAGGTGGGGAAACAGCACCAACAACAGTGACACTACCTTCACGGCTAGGGTTACCAAGACAGGTAGCTCTACCAGCACGTTCGTAGAAGGAAGCAAGACGGGCACCAAGATAAGCGGGGTAACCGGAATCGGCAGGCATCTCTGCAAGACGACCGGAAATTTCACGCAAAGCTTCGGCCCAACGGGAAGTGGAATCAGCCATCATGGCAACGTTCTTACCCATA